AATCGCTTGTTTGGTGGCGGGGAGTCTTTGGAATGTTAGACGGCTTGTCCAAGAAATATTCGTGCAGCCTCAATTTTCTAGCGAAGTTGTCGAGGTCTCGGAGTAAGTGAAACTCATCGAAAGATTTTCTAGTTGGGCAGAAGTTTAGTCCTTTAGATAATAGTTTTACTTCATCAGTTGACAAACTCGTGTCTGATAGGTTTATAATCGCAGCGTCGTAGTGAGTGTTGATAGGTGTTTTCTTGTTTGTGCCGTGAGTTTCCTCGTGGGTGAATGTGTTGTAGTCATACAGTGTAGCGTCTGGTAGTGTGGGGTTGGAAACATTGTCTCTTTTAAGTTTCTGTATTTTAGTTTTCTTGACCTCTTGGTATTTATTCTGTTCGAACTCTGTTAGTAGGGTGATTTCCTCGTTTGATAAGTGGTTGTTGTCGCGCAGAATGGCGTTGGTCATGTTGGTCAGTTTCTTTACTTGTTTTTCACTGTGGTTGATTGCAATTTCTGTTAGCTTGAGTGATGCTTCTAGAAGGACGTTTTGCCATGCGGCCTGGTTGTTTTCGTCGAGATTTGTGGCGGCAGGGGTGATGGAGAGTGTCATTCCTTTGGGGGCTATTCTAGCATTTAGGTATACTTGCAGCGTCGATCTATGCATTGCATGTCTGATTCGTTTATCCGTGAGTTTTCTTACTTTAAGAAAAGTGGCACTGTAACCGGAGAGCAGAGAGCTGGACTTACAGATTGGAAGTCAGTCTTCTTTTGGGCGCGGGGACGGCACTGCAGAAGTCCGCAGGTTGTAGGTGTGTTGTGTAGGCCTTCGTCGTTGAAAGGATGATCCGGGCGTCGAGCTGCTGGCAGGCGTTGAGCTCCGAGCGAGCGTTGAGGGCAGGATGTCTGTGTTGCTCGATGTTTCTTTGGGTGGGGTCGGCAATAGAGCAACACGCCTCTGTTGGTCGGCAGGTTTCACCTCTTGGGAAGGTGCGGTACTGCTGTCGATGACGGTGGGCTGTATCGGGCGTCGAGGTGTTATACTTTCAACGATCGTTGGGAACTCTGTCGTGGTGTCAGAGGTCTGCAGTGCTCCGGGAACGTGTTGGTGACTTCTGGTTCCCTGGTGATATTCTTCTGTTCGCATTTGGATGGGAGTGGTAGGTTGGGATGACCACCCCGCGGCAGGCTCGAGGTTCCCGCGATATATTGCCCCTTTCAGCGTTTGAGCAATGAGTGCTACCCCCATGAAGCTCGGATGTAGTCCGTCCGCAGCAAGGAAACGTCTGGCTGGCAGTTGGTCGAATTCATAGTCGATGTATGACACCTTGCCCGGTTTCCGGCAGTACGTCTTGATTGTCTCATTAAAGTGACGAGCTTCCCTGTTGAAGCGGTGGACGAATTTCTCGTTGGAACGTTGTAGGCGCCTGTTGGTGGATCGTGGTGGCACACATGAGACAATTAGTCTGTCAAGTTCCGGGCGTCTTTGAAGAGTGTTATTTACCAGGCGGCGAAGGCGGCGAAGGGACTCATCCGGCCCGTACAGTTCCAATTCGCTCGTCCCCACGTGGAAAACGAGCGTGGTTACTGAGCGTGGCACATTTGCCAGCTCATCTTCAATATCGAAAGTGGATGCTCCGCGGATCGTTATGAATGCCGGTGTTGACTTGTCGTAGGGGTTGAAGTGTCGATGAAGGTATCTCGTTTGTGAATTTCCAATGATAGCTGTACTTGGTGCATGTTTAGGAAATTTCCGTGATACTTTTTCCGCTGGAGGTGCGCCGGTGGCCGGTCTGGAGTAGGCAGGCATGGTGGCGAAAATGGCCGTAGCGTTGCAATAAGTCAAGTAGATCCTCCAAGAGAACGGTAACAACGGAAGTGTTTAATTCGACAGTTTCGGCCAGAGTCTGGCCTTCATCAGGAGTCATGGTACATTCTGTTTGCGCTCACATTTATAGTATTTTGGGTAAAAAATGAGAGGGAAGGAACGAAAAAAAAAACAGAAAGAAAGAAAGAGTTTGAAAAACGAGAGAGGAAAGGATATCCAGAAAGTTCCAGGTTCCACTGTGCTTCGCGAGTGGCGTCGTCAGTGTGTATTTTCTTAGTATTGCGTTCAGTGCAGTTTGGTGGCGGTCCCTTTATTGTAGACGGGGCCTGGCTAAGGTAAGGGCTTGCGTGTCGCGAAAAATGCTTTTTTTATTATTATTTTTTATTTTTTATTTTTTAAAGACCGTCACTAATTCGGCGTCGGGGACAGCGTTCCGAGGCTCCAGGAAGTCGGCGCGGGAGAAAATGTTTCTTAAGGCGCTGTCTGTCGTTTTGAATGCTATTTTGCTCTGCGAATCCGCGTTTGGGGGTTTTAATTGTGTATGGGGTGGCCCTTCTATATGTCGGGCTTTGTTGTCGAAATGCGGGAAGGGTTTCCAAACTGCGAGAAAGGACGTTTGAAGTGATTGCTATTTTGTACTGGGAAACCGCGTTCGGGGCGTTTAGTTGTGTATGTGGATGTCGGGCTTTGTTCCTTGACGTTACCATAATAATAGAAGATGATAAACTTTCCACAACCCTCTACCGCAAACCAACAGATCGACAACAGTACCTCCATTACCAAAGTGATCATCCACGCCATTGTAAAAACAGCATTCCATACGGCCAGGCCCACCGTTTTAAGCGAATTTGCTCAAAAGACACTGACTTCCACGCGAGCTCACAAAAGCTTAAACTCGTGCTCGAAAAACAGAAATATCCTCCACATGTAATTGATGACGCTATTCAAAAAGCTAGAAAACTTCAGCGTGATGACCTTCTGATGAAGCGGCCACCACAACACAACCTGCAACAGACACACCTATGTTTAACATACAGCACGAATTTCCCCAACGTTAACAAAATCCTTAAACGACATTACAACATACTGGAACAAAGTGAACGTCTAAAACGTGCATTCCCATCGGCTCCTGGCGTCGTTTACCGACGAACACGCAACCTCAAAGACACACTTGTAAACTCCCAAATCAATACTTCAACTTCCGACAGTTCATGCCGACCTTGTCTGAAGCCTCGATGTTTTGTATGCAAAGCGATGCGAGATACAAGCAAGGCAAGCAGCACACAATCCAACTTTTCAATTAACATACGAGGAAATCTAACATGCGATTCCCCTAATGTGGTATATCTACTTGAATGCAACGTGTGCGGCATGCAATACATCGGACAAACGGAAACACCCTTTAGGATTCGTTTCAATAATCACAGAGCCCACGCGAAATCAGCGCCGAATCTACCTCTATCAAAACACCTTAACCTTCCCGGCCACTCCTTCGACAAATTGTCAGTCACACTTTTAGAAACAGGATTTAAATCAAACCGGGAACGTGAACAACGTGAATCATACCTCATACACCGATTTAACACCCTCGAAAAAGGCATAAATGAAAGTCCGGGTACACTTGCAGCAATCAAAGCACTATAATATATACATATGCATTTATATGTGTATATGTACTTATGCATATGCGCATATGTATGGGGGTGTATGTGTGTATATGTAAGTTTATAATTGTAATCATAACAGTTCAAGATTTCGCGGCACTGTGGCGGCGACGAGGACTGGACAACTACAAATATCTTTGCGTGTTTCAGTGAACCACTGTCGTCTATTTCTATTTCTCTGAATAACCGAACAATAGTTGTAAGCCCGACTTGTCGAAGGGTCACCGCATGCACAACTAAAAGCCCCGAACGTGGATTCCCAGAACAAAATGCAATCACTTCAAACGCCCCTTCTCGCCTTTTGGCAACCCTTCCCCGATTTTGGCAACAAAGCCCGACATCCACATACACAACTAAACGCCCCGAACGCGGTTTCCCAGTACAAAATAGCAATCACTTCAAACGTCCTTTCTCGCAGTTTGGAAACCCTTCCCGCATTTCGACAACAAAGCCCGACATATAGAAGGGCCACCCCATACACAATTAAAACCCCCAAACGCGGATTCGCAGAGCAAAATAGCATTCAAAACGACAGACAGCGCCTTAAGAAACATTTTCTCCCGCGCCGACTTCCTGGAGCCTCGGAACGCTGTCCCCGACGCCGAATTAGTGACGGTCTTTAAAAAATAAAAAATAAAAAATAATAATAAAAAAGCATTTTTCGCGACACGCAAGCCCTTACCTTAGCCAGGCCCCGTCTACAATAAAGGGACCGCCACCAAACTGCACTGAACGCAATACTAAGAAAATACACACTGACGACGCCACTCGCGAAGCACAGTGGAACCTGGAACTTTCTGGATATCCTTTCCTCTCTCGTTTTTCAAACTCTTTCTTTCTTTCTGTTTTTTTTTTTTTTTTCGTTCCTTCCCTCTCATTTTTTACCCAAAATACTATAAATGTGAGCGCAAACAGAATGTACCATGACTCCTGATGAAGGCCAGACTCTGGCCGAAACTGTCGAATTAAACACTTCCGTTGTTACCGTTCTCTTGGAGGATCTACTTGACTTATATATATATATATATATATATATATATATATATATATATATATATATATATATATATATGCTCTGGTTGCACAAACTACAAAAAAGCAAAAAAAAAACAATATGGCCTCCACAAAATAAAGAGTTTTCAGCTGCAGAATCTTTACAAACTTAACTGTAAAGCTCTATTTTCTCAAAAACCCTAACGAATTACAGTTTGCTTGGTAGCTTCAGCTAGTATTGGATGTTAAGAGTAGTTTTGCCTTTGACTAAGTTCCTATTAAGGCCAGTTGTACATACATTGTTTAAGATAAATGCACTGTTTTGCACATAACCAGCACTTGAATGCCATTCTTTATTTCCTTCTTTTTCCGTTGTCCACTCCTACCCCGTCAGCAGCTTCCAACTAGCCTCATCTCAGACCTTTATCTAGCAAAGAAAACACTTCAGCAAGAGACGAGACACAGATGCATTTGAAACTTTGTTCAGAGGTAGCCTCTGAACTGGCTTTGTACCATATTTAAAACACCCTTACCTATTCGCTCATCCTCATACAAGTCTTTCAGGGTAAGCAGGATTGAATTGTGCTCAATGTTGCTGGTGATGACATGAGGAATTTTGGAATTTGAGAGAGCTGCAAAGCTGCTTCTTGTGTTCTTGAAGTGGCGCACAAGTGAGTGAATGATCATATTGTTGCTCTGAAAATAGAAAGAAAAACATGAAAATGAGAGCTGGATTGGTGTTAATGCATGCTCAGATCACATAATAAGAACTTGGTGCAGCAAACACCAGCATAGTGCAAGTTAATGAGCAAACCTCTGTCCCTCCTGATGTGAAGACAATTTCTGTAAAATGAGACAAAAAATGCTTAATCGCGTTCCCTTAAGCGAGCATGCACATCTGTAACTATACAAACCTGATGGCGATGCTCCAATCATGTTTGCAACTGACATACGGGCCTCATCTATAATTCTACGTGCTTCAGTTCCTGCAGGCAGAAAATATCTTTGTGGCTGTACTTGAACGAATTATTTATGTGAAGAAGCATGCAATATGCAAGCACTTTGCTCTTTGCACACCAGTTTACTGTAAATTCTGAAATATGTTATCCGAACGTTTTCTGAAATAGAGTGAGCCTAAATTTTTTTCATATACGTCATAACCAAACATCCTCATTCACACAACTTCCCGAACTTTTTTGTTTTGTCAAGTAATGCTTAACTAAATGTCATCACCACTGTTTTTTATTTGCTAGAGTCAAAACTTTTTCTCCATCTTCCAAAAACCAGTGAAACATTTGTAATCATCAAATGCTCTTCATAGCACAGTTCCGTGTGCTATAAAATTCAGTTGTTTAATTCTTTTAGTAACCATTGTTATAGAATAAAACTATCCTGTAACCTGAGTGACAGTGAGAGTTCACCCAAAGAGTCCACTTTTCTACCTAATGAAAGACAACAGCAAGAACTGCAGTACATCTAGCCTCATAAACAGCATCTGAAAAGAGCTCAGTCAAGTGAATTGGTAATAGATAAGTCCCACTAAAATGCAGCAAAGAAATGAGTATCTCTAATTTATTTTCTCAGGAAGTTTCATATTTTTATTGCATGGATTTTTATATATATTCTGAAATGACATTAACAGCGAAACTACTAGCCCGACATTTATGGCCTGAAAATTTGGTAGCCAGCCATTATACAAAGCATTACTGCTCCAAAAACAAATTATATTTTTTATTTATACAATACCGTAGACCTTAATTAGGTTCATGCAGAAGGACAGTACATAAATGAATACATTGATGAGTGAAGTCAGAAATGACAGAAAAGAAATATAGAGAAGCACAACAAAATAAAGCAACTTTAAGACCCAAAGAATGAATAACAATATCATCAGAAACAAACAAAATATTAATAGAGAACATAATGCACACGCATAATATCGAAGAAAACAATAAGATTTTTGAACTACTAAAAAAAGTAACACAAAACCTAAGGAACACAGGGTTAATTAATGTGACACTGTTGATAACATTAAGTAGATTTACGTTCAATAGAATCTGCGTTTAATATTTGTGATGCCTCCAGGGTATCCCAACCGTTAACAGTTTGTGAGAAGGAAAACTTAAATAGGTTAGTTCTGGTGCTGTATGGCATTAAAGAAAGATCATTATGATGCCTTGTGTGCTGTAAGTGGGGACCCATAGGCCTGTGAGTGAAGAGAGAAACAATTGTTTTTAAGTTGGAAAAAAAATTTTAGCCTGTGAATTTTCCTTCAAAGTTGTACAGTCTGAATGCTATGTAGTTTCATTAAAGCTGTGGGAGAGTCATTTATTCTATATTTAGAAAAAATAAACCTAACTTCTCAGCATTGAGTCATTTCTAATGCATTAATGTTAGATTTTGTGTAAAAGTCCCATATGATGCCTGCATATTCGAGATTTGGTTGGATAATTGGATTTGGTTGGTATAATCTATGAGGCTGCTCAGATTGCGCTTGAAAGGAGCACATGCGTAAGCAAGCCACCAGTTGCTCTGTCAGGTGCGAGGGTTGGCGTAGCAGGCTCAGTGATTGTTAATATTTCTTATCTTTACATCTGTCATTTTCTCGCTCTTTTTTTTTCTCTTCACTCGGGTATATTAACAGCCTTCTTGTCAATAAAATTTTAGTTGGAAGTCAGCGCTTGTCCTGTCCTTTTTTCGTCCGCCATGTATTTCTTTGCTCTGTTAAACCTTAAATATGCTAAACTAACTAGCCCAATCAGCTACTTTGTTAAGTCCTTTCCAACATTAAAAAGGCCAAATCATAGAGGCAGTCCTTTTTTCACATACTCCTCCTCAAGTACAGATAGACGAATTGAGCTACCCACAACATCATTAGGCAAGCAGACAGTGAGGATTACATACTCACCAGGACAATGCACTGTTGATACTACACAGACTAAAACAGCTTATTTATGCACCAGTGAAAAACAAAATAAACATCCAAGAATTTGAAAAGAGACTACTTCACCTCCCTCATGGTTGCTTGTTGGATTTCCCCAAGCCACCTGCAAGGCATATATGATGGATTTCTGGACCTCTTCTTCCACCGGTGCAGTTGCATTATAGTCAAGGTAAACGCTAAGAGGAAGAAAGTGACTGTTTTGTAACAACTGGTTATGTTTGACTACCCTAGAAACTAAGCCTCAAAATTGGGCAGCAGCCAATCACATTAAGGCCAGCCAATAAATAAGTGTGCCTCTCTTCTCCCAAGAGCAGCTCTAGGCACGTGTTTTAGATGCGAAGCCGCTTATGGCGGCGTTCAATCTCGTGTAACCACCCTTGCTACCCATGCGCAACAGCTGGCCCAAGCACTGCCACAAAGTGCTCAGGCCTGCACAAGTGAACATGTAACAGACCATGGCCTCTCGCCGATACACTATTAGCACTCGTGTGATGGCATTGGGGAGCGAAATTCTGCAGTGTGGCATGCTTCCACAAGAGTACGGGATGAGCAGCGGAAACTACAGTGAATTGATGGTGTGATCCACTTGCAAGGGCGCGTTAACATTGAGCAGGTAGCGGGAGGTGGTGTAATTTACTGTCTTATCTGAGCACACGAAAAAAAAAACAGCCCGAGCACTTCGCACAGCTTGTTAACAAGCAAATGTGCAGCCCTAGTTTTCATCTCTTTTAGGGTATTCATTCATTATTCCCTTCAGGCAGAAGTTATGATCCAGTGTCTACAAATCTGTCATATTCGCATACCTTAATTTTAAGGCCCTAAATATTAAATAGCAAAAAAATGAAATAGTGCATTTTTCACATAAAAAGAATATAATCATAAGACCGTAGTGTCGAGCAGTTCTTTTTGATCTGGTATCTTTGTTTTTTGCACTAATCATGATGAGTATGTTCCAACAAGCCCAATTTGCTACTTTATAAGATCCAAATGAGTGCACAATTATTTTTTGGTCGCATTCATTCTGAAAAAAAAAAGTAATACTTTCGATGTTTGTTCTGCAACCCTACACGTCAAACAAAGTAGCGCTGACACCAATGTGATCAGTCACAGTCATATGCAGCACATTGAGATGAAGTCAAGACATATTAATAATGGAGAAGGGTCAATTTATCATTGGGCAGTTGTGATATCGTCAGTGATAAGCCGGTTTATTAACAGAGAAGCACTCCTTTCATTTGGATGGCGATCGTTGCCCCCTACACCTCTTTCCAGCATGGTGGTCACACTTAGTAACCGCCTTTTCTTCATTCTTTTTCTTCTTTAAACACGTCAGTCCCATGTGCCGGACTTTAAATGGCACATTTCTTAAAGCATTTGACAGGGACATTACTTCATATAAAATTCGATTTGGCATGTTACGTTTGCTTTCTTCCGGCTGCCATCGTTCTCATGGTGCGCTAGAAGGTGGACCAGAGACATTTTTATGGATATATAAGTATGTGCTTTCTTTATTATGTTGATAGTGAAGGAGATCGACGTGGCATGTGGCTCACATGCTGATGTAAGTACACCTTTAGACAGAAGTGAGTGAAGTACTAATAAAAATAATTAGGTTCTGCTATGGCATTCTCACAAGTTGATTTGAATGCACAGTAACAAATAAAAAAAAGGAGACCACATTGTATGGGTAGCCAACACTAAGGAATACAGAAATGAAGAGGTGCGTGGACTCGGTCAGTGCAGAGTGCCATGTCAATGAAATTGATGGTCATTGAAGGGTCCTAGAAGGTCAGCGATACGCATTATGGGAGCGGCGTCTGCAGGCGCGCCAATAGTAGAATAAAAGATTGATTAATGCTCGAGTTCTCACAGCTCGTGCTCGGCGGCCACTGACAGGCAGTCGTGGCCAAGGCATGAACGAGTAAAGACGTGTACTTTGGGCATTGGGATCATCCTTAAGAGGTTCCTAGCCAGCCGCCTCCCAGAACCCCACAAATACATTCTCGACGTTGAAACTTTCATGAATCGATTGCCTTTGCCCCTTTAGCGAAACAAGGACCTTATGCGTTGTCCAGCAGATCGTCTTCCGTCTGCCAACATGAAATAATGCAATGAGGCACCCTTTGATTGATATGTGGAAATTTCTGGAGCCCTCATCTACGTGTCTCTCATAATCATATGGTGGTTTTAGGACGTTAAATCCCACAAATCAATCAATCAATCATTGATTGATATGTGAGGTTTAACATCCCAAAACCACCATATGATTATGAGAGACGCCGCAGTGGAGGGCTCCGGAAGTTTCGACCACCTGAGGTTCTTTAACGTGCACGCAAATTTGAGCACACGGGCCTACAACATTTCCACCTCCATTGGAAATGGAGCCGTCGCAGCCGGGATTCGATCTCGCGACCTGCGGGTCAGCAGCCCCTTAGCCACTAGACCACCACGGCGGGGCAATGAAGCACCCTTAGTATGTACTGTCTTTATTATGTTGTTGGCATCTGACGTTATGTCACATGAGTTTCTAATACCAAATAATCTAGAAATGGAAAGCTGTACTGATTCCAAATACTGACCACCGTGTTGCTGAAGTTGGTGATCACCTGGCGTGACCACTATAACACGAAAGGCCTTACAAGGATGGCATTACATTTTATTTTATATCACTAATGAATTTGTTTTGAAAGATACACACAAGCGCCCTAAAAAATGAGATGGATGTGCACTCATACAGTGCCTCTTTGATCCTGTGGGGAAAGAAGCACTGTTCAGCAACCTTTCACCGAAAGTGACCACTACAACCTTATTGCATGGTGACCACCTCATAGTTTTTTAACTGAAATTGCCTTTTTTTTTTTCTTGAGGGAAAATCATTTTTGGCGAGAGTTGGCCATTTTTTCAATATAATCTGTTTCCTGCCAAAAATGGCGTTCAATGCATGAAAGAGATACACAACAGTGATACACCGAGCTCTCTTTCGGCCACAAATTGACACGGCTAGCATAATAAACAAGTTGCGTCCACAAACGTAGCCACCGCAACTGACGAGGTTGTGGAGCCACCAAGTCCCAGCGCAGATAGGCACTCACAAGTAGGAATGTTTGCGCAGAGAATTTTTCTTTTTTTCAGGGAATTTTCACCCATCATTTTGGATGAAAGGGAATCTTTGCAATATTGCAGGAAATTTCAAAAATGTTAAATTCACCTATGCGAACCAATTTATTGCAGTCAGAGTGCACCTTCGGCTTTGCAATCTGTTCTGGTGCATGCAGCATGCAAGCATAGCCCTTGAGATTAGTCTGATATTTACGTGAAGCATCTTCTAATTCACTGCTGGTGTGGGCTCTGTGACCACTGCTTGTGATGTAGTACTTACAGCACACGAGTTAAGAAAATCATGCTTTTGTTGTTGAGCAGGATCAAAGGCGCTAGTCTTGATTTTAATAGTCGCAAACATGTCACGCACATGCATTTGATTGTGTGCGCGAAGGGGTGCTCATATACTACAAGGGAAATATGCTGGGAATTCTGTCAGCACATGCAGGGAAAAATGCCCTAACAGGGAGTTCTCATTAATTTTTCGACGTAGTACGCAACACTGGTACGAAACATCACTGCCCACAAAAAAAAAAAAAGCATTTGTGTGCACTCGTCGTTTTTTTCGTGAATGCCTAACTGTACGGGCTTCCTTGCGGAGTTTGTAACCGGGTTATTCCCCAGGGTTTGTTAGAGTCTTTCTCAGTCCAGAAACCTTGAGGATATGTGGAGTTTAACGTCCCAAAACCACCATATGATAATGAGAGACGTTGCAGTGGAGGGCTCCAGAAATTTCGACCACCTGGGGTTCTTTAACGTGCACCCAAATCTGAGGACACGGGCCTACAGCATTTTCGCCTCCATCGAAAATGCAGCCGCCACTACAGAAACCTTAACGGGAGTTTGCCGCCTGTAGTTCCGATTGGAGAGAAGTAGGCGTGAATTGCGCGGCGCATACGGGCTCCAAATTTTCGCTTACATAAGACAGACGAATTTTGCTGCCGAATAAATGGAGATGGGTGCGAAAGGATAGCAGAAAGAGCATTGTTCGGAATGTCGTCCAACTCGATTATATACTGCACCCTACGGAAGTACCGTTTCCTTTTTTTTTCTCATTGAATTACATGAATGGGTATAAATGGTGACCTGTCTTCAGAAAAACAAATCAGCATTCGCACCACTTGCGCTCGCGTAAGTGTTACACAGAAATAACATTACCAGCGATGCCCATTGTCACCTTCCATCGTTGGATGGCTCAGCGGTCTCAACCAAGCAAGCGCAACCAAGGATCTTGTAACGTTGAGCGCAACGAGCAGGCGCAAGATGCGTCAAGTGGCCACACAAGTGCTCAGATGTGAAGCACCACCACACCACTCGACGAGATAAGAGTGGAGAGAATTGTTGATGGGCGAGAGCAAAGAAATGCCTCTTAATCACATAAGGGTTTCTCAAGTTACGAGTCAAGGAACCATAAAAATCGTTGCCGCGCCGCTTTTCTAGACGACCAGCAATATTTCCACGCCACTTATTCTGACGTTTCTAGCCAAAGCTTCAGTCCATACGCAGCCAAAACTATCCAAGAACTTCGATGAACGCGGTAATCCACGTATTATAGTGCCTAGAATATTCTAGGCACTATACACGTATGCATGGTACCCTACACCATAAAGTTTCCTACACTCTATGCCCTACATAGAGGGAGGAAAATTAATTTTCTTTCTTCATGGTACCCTAATATCTTGTTTACCATGGAGGAAGTCTGTACTATAAACTTGAAGGAAGAAAAGCTTCCTTTCTATTATTTATAGTCGTTCCTTTTTTCATGATTGTAAATATTGGTAAAGTGTGCACTCTTCACAGCAAACCCCTTATTCGATCCAAACAAGCAAGCATGCAGACGAGCCGGGTCACAGACGGCGCAGAAGCAGCTTTATTTTGCAATCGTGCTGATTGTGCTTCCAGACTATTTTACTCACAAACTGCAGGAAGGGTCGCAATGCAAATTTAAATTACGCGCGCCGAGCACACCGTTCGATGGTGACGTTCATCACAAGAGCGACCACAGCTCTCCCAGGCTCTCCCATTACTCTGTGGGAAGATATCCCCACAGAACACCTATAATATCCCATCTAGTACATACATCTTGGTACACCAAAGCAACGCCTCGTTGACCAAAGTTGTGGGCAAGCGCAAGGACTGTCATCGATTCTTCGGTGTTCCCTATTTGGTTGGGATCTCGACACGTTGATCACGTTTGTTGAAAAAACTGCCGCTTGCTGACAAGACAACCCTCCATAATGATCTTCGCATGTCAAAGGGACAGCTATCTTAGGAGCTTCAAAACACGTGTAGTTGCCTGCAACCCAGTTGTTGACGAATCCGCGGGGGATGTTTACGAAGTGGTGTTCGAAGACACCGTGTTATTTCCCGAGGGAGGAGGGCAGCCCGACGATCGTGGACTGGTGGGCGATGTGCCTGTGTTGCGTGTCTTTCGCAGAGCCGGAGAAGCGGTCCACGTCGTGTGCTCGGCCATTGCGGTTGGCGCAGAGGTGGAGATGAGCGTGGACTGGAAGCGCCGTTACGACCACATGCAGCAACATTCCGGCCAACACCTGATAACTGCACTGGCTGAACAACATTTCGATTTTCTGACGACGTCATGGAACTTGGGGGAAGAAGTGAGCTTTATTGAACTAGATGCTCCGATGGGAGTCAAAGAAGAAGACCTGCGAAATTTGGAATCATTAGTGAATGAGAAAATACGGCAGGGCCTTCCGGTGCACACTAATCTTTACGAAGCTGGGTCGGACGCGCTGCAGTCTGTTCGAACCAGGTTGAAGCTGCCAGACGGAGGCGGAGATGTAATTCGAGTGGTGACCATCGAAGGCGTGGACTCGAACACTTGTTGTGGGACCCACGTCTCCAACCTGGCGCATCTGCAAATGATAAAGTTGCTGTACACGGAAAAGGGCAAGCAGAAAAAAACGAATCTTTACTTTCTAGTCGGAAACAGGATCTTGCAGTACCTGGACAAAACAGTTTCGCGAGAGAAAGTGATAACTTCCGTGCTAAAATGTGGCCCCGATGATCACGCATCGATGGCTGAGAAGCTTAGCAAATCCCTGAAGCTCGCCAACAAAAACTTGCTCACTGCACTGCGGGACTTGGCCGTCGCTGAAGCGAAACTTGTGAAGCAGCAGGAACCCCTGTCGGCATTCTATACATTTCATAGGCGAGAAGCAGATGCCGAGTTCATGGCAATATTTGCGAACGAGCTATCAGACAAAGATGTCTTGCTCTTCCTCACTTGTGGTGATGAGAAAGGCAGTGGACAGTTTCTGGTGTCTGGCCCAGAAAACATAGTGGCTACTACTGGACCCAAGGTATGCGAACTGCTAGACGGCAAAGGTTTCTTGAAGCATGGAAAGTTTCAAGGGAAGGCCCGTGCTCTCTCCGGAAGGGGAAAGGTGGAGAAACTTTTAATGGATATGCTTGATAACAAGTAGTGTCAGCCACATTGGTGTGTAAATGAGACAAGAGTACAGAAATGCTACTTTGCTTAGAACCCTTCACTGCACTAAGCATCCACCTCCAATAAAGGAGTTCAATTCCTTATGCTGCCAAGTGTCCACTGTTTTTTTTATATATCGTGTCTACTCATAACTTGAGATGGCAATCACTCTTTTCTGCTCTCCTCTTTCGCTAGCCTCCTTTTGCAACCAACACTGAGCCGTGATTAATTGAAGTAAAATTTCCTATCCTCAAAGCACCACTTTTGGCCGCTATTTTGCAGTGATGTCTTTTGCCATGCTAATGCCTTTTTGCATTCGGTTCCTAGTCGGTCACAGTCTCCACCATCAACTGGCCACGAGTGGTGGCTGATAAGGTGCATGTGGTATTGAGCAGAAGGCATAACTACAATATAGCTCTTTTAAGTGCCTGTTTCTTTCTCGTATATATCTAGTCAACATCCTACATCCAAAGCAGGACTGAGGCCTCTCCCAATGGCCTCCAGCAGTCCTGCACTGGCCCGTTCTACTTGATGACTCCACATTCCTTAATTATTAGTGGCACCTAAATCATTGTCACCCTCGGCCGCATCACGTGGTATCCATTCTGACATTTTTCCCAACCACCTGCCTAGCGACAAGACATGCCCAAGTCCTTTCTTTTTTTAGCTTGGGTGTCAGCTTCTTCTCTTTGATCCCCGATCTACTCCGCTGGCTTCCTGTCTGAGTTACATTGCACACTGGGTTTTCCTTACCTTCTTCTTGAATATCTATGTTATTCTGCAGGCCTCATACGTTGAAAGTGGCAAAACGCAATAACTTGCACTTTCTGCTCTAGTGACGGAGGCCCTTCATGATTCTAGGTTGGGTTAGGTCTACAGTGTGCATATCACCCCATTTTTAACCTTGGGCTTATTCTTTGGTGTATTTACTCCACATGAGTATGCTCCCCTGTTAATATTTGTTCTGGATAGACAAAGCCCACTCAAAAGAAGGGTCTGTCAAAAAGGAAATACAATCTCACTATACTAATTCATTGCTTGTTGGGGAAAAAAGTATTAAACAATTCCTAGATTGAGGAGAAAGAAGAAGAATAATTAACAGACATAATAACATTACAAGAAACCTGGCTTACTTCTCCTAATAAAAATTTTTGGGCATTTTGGTTGGTTTGGTTGTCTTTCACTAGGGGGTAGTGTATAATACTAATATCAATTTTATCACACAGTGAGCCTCGCTTGTCAGTTATTGTCCTCGAACGGTGTAATTTTGGCAATAGACCTCAGCATGCCAGGATGCAGACATTTTTCTATTATAAACGCATATTTTCTCTCGGGTGTGCACAATACACAACAGTTAGACGGTGTTCTATCTCGTTGCAAAAATTAAATGATTCTTACCGGTAACTTCAACTCTGATCAAGCTTAATGAGGATTCAAAACAGACTCGTCTGGTGCTCTTCTGCAGGACTGGATTACACATAAAAATTTCACCTTCCTAATTATGAAGCTGCCTACGTTTCTTGGCGGTCGTGCATGATCAGCAATAGATCTGACGTTTTGTAGCACAAGTGTTCTGCTGAAGTCCTGGAGAACAGTTTATTTTGCTTTAAACAGTGGTCACCTTCATGTGTACATTAAAATAGGTTGTCCAATAACATCAATTAAAAAAAAAGCAAAAACAGTGGTTAATTATAAAAAGTTTTAAGACTGATAGTGCTCTCATATTTAGGTAGTATCCACTAGTAGAAACGAAGACCTCGGTAACAACGTCCTCTCGATTTTAGAAACATTAAAAAACAGGTTCTCTCGGTTTTATAAATATCGAAGAACACTTTGTGATTGCGTCGGTCTCAACCAAAAGTGCTCCACCTAGCCGATAGGGGAACAGTGTACGCGTGACTACAGTAGAAAGAAACTCACTTGAAAAAGTCTGATACGAAATCAGAGTCTACAAAATTGTAAGATTATCAATTCATTGTGGCAATATTTAAATGTACTGTGTCACACACGAAAAAGGAATGTGATAAGAATCACTTTGGCTACCTATCTAGATGAAAAACAATCAAGCATTATTCAATTACCTGCCTATATAACAAAAAGAATTCTATTGCCTGGAAATACGGACTCAATAGTTTATATATAAACCTCACAAGAATTACAGGAATCGCTGCAATTGTCACTGACTCATTATCTGTGTGCTCTTCTCTTTCGGCATCTGGTGAAATGCCTACGCTGAAGCTCTTTCAACTATTAGTTCCCGCTCACCTTCAATATATTTTTTAATTTGGACACCAGGTCACAAAGGTTTATTGTTGAACAAAAGGACTGATTCTTAAGCGAAGGTTGCGCTTTTGGCGTCAATAATTTGTGTTTTTCTGTGGACAGCACACACCACAATTGTAAGATTCCGCTTACTGACATTCAGAAAAAGCTTATCAGACCTTGTATTGACAGCTTCTCCAGAATATCAGCACCTCTTATTTCTCTGGTGGAGCGATTTATTGAAGTCGAGAATAATGTAAGAGGCTGTGACTAAATTTTGTTGCCGTGTTACCGCCCTCAATTTTTACCTGCATTGAACCTAATGCCTTCCTTTCTGGGCCTGGGAGAAAACCAGTGATTCATGTATATTCTGTCGCTGGTTCACGTCATTGAAGAGAGAAAGATTTATATGGTACCGCCTCTTTGAAATATTGGTCTGCAAGTAGCAGAATCAGTTATTCTTTCTTTTGGTGCCTCTACTCTGGGCGAAAGTCGCAGGAATGTTTTCTTCGCCATAAATAGAGGGATTCATCGGACAGTAAAAGAATATCTAGCTAAGTACTCAATCTTTTAAATATTGCATTGCAAATTATTAATACCTAAATTCTTCATATTTGTTAATTCTAGCTTGTACGAGTAATCTACTAAAGCAAATACTGAAAAAATTCATCTGCTACTTGGCCAATCTTTTGCATTGGCTATGAGCGGTCAGTTGAGGAGAAGATGAAAAATATCGTGGCAATTTGTGGTTTTCAGATTACATTGTGCTCTTAAGTTCTGGCTGTGCTGGACTTAAAAAAATTATTGGAGAGTTAAGCAAGAGAGTGTAAAATAGGGCTGAAAATGGATATACAAAAGAAAAAAAATTGGCCCATATCTGCATGTTTCACTGCAAATGTTGTCGAAAGACAATAGTCTTGCGTGTGGAGAGAGTGAACAGAACATTTTTTTTTTGATATTCTGCACAAGAAAAAGGGTGAATGGTATTCTGGAGGCACTGCATTATAGTGCCTTGATGCGTGCAGCGGAGGCGAACGAGCGCATCGAGGCGCATCACACGTGAAATATGAGTGCTATCTGGCAGTCATCTTGAAAAATGAAGCACGCAGCATGTGCGCCCGTCTCGGAGGTGATAACGTGTAGAACGCAAGGCAGTAAGTAGGTGCCACCATCGTGTCGTCTTAGCGAAGCATTGTAAACACTTGACTTTTCGTGCAAGCATTGCATTGTTGTCTCTTAGTTGTTTTTCATTGTTCTCTCTTATTTTTTATTCCATATTACAACAAAGTCTTTAACATCTCCTCGAGTTTCTTCGTAAGCCTCGAAGCCTGTGCCTCATATGTTAGTAAAGGAAAAACTATTGGAACGTCACATTATAGAGGTAATCAAATAAAAAATAAACAAGGGCCTACCACAACAACACACTTCTATTCACAGAATGAATCTGCAAGTACTGTTTTTATTTTGCATGAAACTATTGCACAAGCTGCAAATCTTCACAAAGCAGTCACAGTCATATGTTTCGCACCAGAACTACCAGCTTCTTACCCATTTGACTCACATGACTTTTCACTGTGGGTTGCAGGAAAAAAAAGGGGGGGGGGAATCTGATGGAAGGGGGAAAATAAAAATTTGGGTGCCATGGTCTGTGCGTATGGTTTGTCCCATGCCTTTAAGGGTATTGCAAGTTTTTATAGTGTGCAGGCTGTTCTAAATGCGAAGCATTTTATGTTCTGCAGACACGTATCTGTCTGTCTGTCTAGCTGCCTAGGCCTGGGTGCTCTCGTGGTCACCACCTTAACTTGGGGTAAACCAGAATTAGTATGGGAGGGCAAGATGGTTTGACGAATACGACTCGCTGGTCATGACAATATTAATGTCACAACCCCGTTGTGTACATCGTCAAAGGCTTTACCCCAGACATGTGGCACACACCTGCTCACATGTATGCGGGTATGTGCCACAGGTGATTGGCAGTTTATATCTGCGCAGGAATTGTGAGAGCAGACATTGGTAGTAGTAATGTGATGTCTTTAAGAAAAAAAAAGCTGGCATCGGCAGTGTTGGCCCGATGAATACAAAGAATAACACATTTGTTTAGAAGAACCAAGCATTGGGCGAGTTGGTATTCTATTGAGGATGGCATTTTGCGAAAAAGAACGGACAAGGAAGAGTGCACAGGCAGGCACAAACTGTCTCCTGTTTAGAGCGAAAGCTGTTGCATGTTGTCCGCCGCCATCACCGCCGCCGGTGTCCATAACCACATCGCGTGAAATTAGAAAAGAAACCTTGCACCAATGACACAGTGTGGCTTGAACTTGGGTTCGCTGGGTGACAGCCCAATATTCTACCACTGAGTTACGCCGGTGCTTGTGACTTGCTGTCAAACTTGCCTTCGGCAGGCAAGATGTCGGGAAAGCAATCACAAAGCATTTACAACAAGGCATTTACAACAAGACTTACGAGGCATTTTACAACAGCAAAAGAACAACCAGTCGTCGCACAATGCGATTACTGTAACGAGTGGGCCGGTCAATGCTCTAGCCCATTACAAAAGCTTGTTCTTGTTTCTCTATTAACTGTGGCGCATAGCCACCTCAGCCATAATTTCTCATCGTTGTCAGCCGCTGCATGGACAATTGGCACAAAATTCCTAGCAAGTGTTTAGCAGATACCGCGCTTCTTCAAAGAATGATGAAAAATAGCATAGCGAATACCAGCCTACTACCCAAAAGTTTATTATTAATGCCCTAGTGGGCACCAAGCGTGTTTGAAGTAGTTATCCAATGAGTGTTTTGAAAAGGCTCTGAAAGGCTGCTCTTCTGGCTTTCACTGCGACTGTGCTGCGCCTACTGTGCAAACCTGGTATTTTTGTTTGTTTTTTGCACAAAATGCCATCCACAATAAACATCTGGGTGCAGCAGGAATCGAACCCCAGTATTCTGCGTGGCAGGCAAGTATTTACCACAGAGCCATGCCAGACCTCGATTCTGGTTTCGAAACATACACTATTCAGGTGTATTGTTGGTGAAACGTCCATGTGATTGCAATGCTTACTATTCAAATTTATAGAAGTCACATATGTACTCCTATGACACAGCGATCAGTCGGGTTAACGTCAATTGTCGTTGAGCACCATGCACTTAAATCAATTTATGTAGCCGTATGCAGGCCTATCATCCTTGTGAGCACAAGCAATACATCTCGGCGTACTGCTTCTGTTGTTGCTAATATTCATGTTGCTGTTGGCATCATTACGCAACTGTACACAACTGGTCATACAAAACATTTCAGGCTATTTAACACGTGCCTGTGCATGCATTATTTTTATACATCTCTAGTGCTGTTTTGTAATGTGTCCCCTAATTATAACACTCATCTTTCCTCCGCATGCTTCTCACAACGTTGATTCCTGTGATACGTGGGAGCTGCCGATTTTTTATTTTTGTTTTCTGCTCCTTGCAAACAAAGTTCGAATTGTCCAGCAGTTGAAAAGTGTGTCAAGAATAGGGAATGGCACCACTCCTCTATTGAAGAAATTCAGCAGGTTAAATACATCTGTTGCACGGTTAATGTTGTTTGCTATTCCCTCATTTGTGTAGTTGTGCTTATATATAAGAATGGTGTCAATTAACAAGAGTCTGATGTCATTAGATAATTCCTATTTTTGACAGGACCAAGAGCGAGTTCTTAAGTTTTTTTTTTTTTTTTTCAACAAGCACCTGTGTGCAACAAGCTTCAACAAGCACCGAAATAATATCTTGCTGTCCTGCCAGGGCACTATGATTGTGCACTTTTCGTTTAAAAAAAAGTTAAGTATTTGGTCGTGATTTGAACATTTCTGCAACATGCACTTCAGTCCCCGCTTATTCTTCAGTAACAGATTTTTAGAGGTAGCTGTTGCAAATCAGCTGAGCTGATTCTTCTATTGCCAGACTATTGAAATGACCCCCACTTCTGCCTATTTATCTTAAAGACTATTAAACATTTTCCATGACAAGTTCCTTACTTGTTGAAATTTCCCACCAGTATTGCTGAATAATTTGTGAACAACATATGGTCGAGATATTTTGTCTTTATCACTATTCCTATCTCTTTCCAATCAAGTCTGAACCATGAATAGCAACATTTCCAAGCATGCAGTGAACAATGCAGAGATTGTGGTTGAGAAGCCTCAATCAATATTTTCCTGCTTCTCTTGTGAAGAAGCAAGGCATCTGTGGTATTCTTTGCAGATGTTGGGTAAGGTCTCGGGTATTGCATGAGAATGCAATGCCTCCATGACAGCTGAAATTTCTACAGAGTGAAATGCCTTTTCATGGTTTACGAAAGCCATATCAGGGGGTTTATTGTAACTAGCTGATTTTTCAGTAATCTGATTGATCATATAGCAGTGATCTATCATAGGTTAAACCCATCTAGAAATGCTTGCTTTTCGTCCTAGTGCCTCTCATCTTTTCTAGCACTAAACTGTCAAGTATTCACCAACTTGTCCAGCACCATGTAGCCTTTGCTCTCTGGGTTAAGTGAAGCTAAGTGTTTCTCTCACCCTGTTCATAATTATTTAGCATAATTATTTAGCATAATGCTTAACACAAGCTGGCAATTCTTCAGTCACTGTACATCTCCCTCGGTTGTTAATGCTGGCATTTCTCCAACTGATCTATACAGTTTTGCTTGTGAAGTTCCTCCATCCCTAAGAAATTCATACGTTATACCATCTTCTCCTGCCACTTTTCTGCAGGACAGGCATAGTATAACCCTTTTAACGTCACAAGTTTGTCGCACAAGTAATTTCAATATTCTTGTTGGCCCCAATTTTACCCAAGCATGAATGCCTGATCTGCAAACTGTCATCAAACATTGCCAATAATACTGCTCTGCCTATCTTTCATTGAGTGCATGTTGGTACGTTTCCCACGGAGTTTTTCATGTAGCCAATTTGATGTTGCCTATCTTATTTTACTACTTTCTGGGGCGAGCACCCATCCCACGAATTGTGGGACTGTCAGGTATTGAGGACCATTGCTCTCCTTCTATAGTACCCTCTTTTACAACCACTGTACCTTTGGCACATCACAATATAAAAGAAATCTGGTTTCATTCATTCATTCAAAAGAAATACGAGAATGTTAAAAAGATCGCAGCATATCCACAGAGTGAATGATGATAAGTGGGGCGAAGTGTTTGTCGATGCACTCGGATTGACGCACAGAAGAAAGCACTGCTGATCAAAAACACTGCTGATTAGTAGTAGAGGCTCCCAAGAACACGTGAGCCAAATATTATAGTGCAGCACGTGGCCTGGAATTCATAATAAATTATCAGTCAGATAAAAGTTACTTCCTCTTCTCTCCAGAAATGACGGGAGATGCTCAAAAATCGCGCGTAGAAGGCCATCTATCAGCCATTGACTAATTTGAGCATGGCATGCTCGGTCGTTACAGGAATAGCAGAGTTCACGCGTGCGTGCGCGATCACACTGGAAAAGTCGCGTATTCGAAAAAAAAAGTGCTCAAGGTTACGAAATGCATGTGACGTGTTTTATTTGCCCATGTCATGCATTCCTGCTTAGCTTCCAGCGCTTTCATCGGGACGAGAGAAGAGAGAATGCGACTTAGTGTGCAACAAATCCTTGTAAATCTGCTCGTACTGAACATATTCTTAAAATTTTTGTGGCCTTGAATTCATGATGCGATTAGCTATTTTAGTATATTCATTCCATGGTTACTTGAAAAAGTGTTTTAGCACCCCTTTAACGGCGGGGCTGGGTTAAGAACCCATGCCCTATACTCCAAAGGTGAGTGCCTTAATCACTACGCTATGCACGCATACTTGCACAGTGCACATATGGATGTGTTGCACCCTTGGTACATAAAGATTGTTCAAGCAGAACAATTTTTATGAAGGCCTTGCTGCATTCCCTGGTAAAGAAATGCTCTGCAGGAGATGTAGTGCTGACATGGGGTATTGTACACATCGGCAAAATTTATATTTATGAAAAACTTGAAGCTGTTTTAGTGGTGCCTTCTGAGGTAGCTGTTCCAAATGCTTATGAGATACCATGTCGATGCCAGATGCTTTTGCCGCTCTAACATGGAGACATATTTCACGGCTGCAGCTGAGTGGAGACTCCAGGCGTAGAGCAACAATTGTGTAACCGCTCGCCAAAAATTGGTGTAGCGCAAAGTCCTGTCGATCTTTCTACCCCGAATCGCCCGCGCTGCTTTCCATTAGGAAGCAGATGCAGGGTGTTTAGAGCATCGTAAAGTGCTTTACACTCATCCACTGTAGTCATTCTTTTCAGCTTTGTGCGCTGTTACATGCATTGCAATAAACCAATTAGCTTGCCAAGCACCTATTGTTGACAGTGTAGAGGTTTGAGCTGCTTCTGCAGTAAGCTTCACAGTGGATGAGTTAAAACTTGCTTCTTGTCACGTGCTTGCATGCGCATGACATTGCACATTGCAGTCAAGCATGGGACAGGGTTTGCATAAAAAAGAGGACACTGATCACAAGAAAACAAAAAATGCAATAAGACAACGTTTGCAACTGACGCTGCACAAACTCAAACATTAACAAACATCAGCTTTATTGCAGCTTCAGAGCAGTGAAACTAGGCGCAACAAAGTAAGTGCAGCTGCTGTTGACACCTAGAAATAGGCAGCGTGGCACATTCAAACAAAAAGAACAAAATTTTAAAGTTGTAAATGGCAGTGGTCGCACCACCAAAGCTGCAGTCAACACCCTGAATATGTACACTCTCGTGGTAATGTTTTACCTGAATCACTTGTCATAGCAAAATACTCAATCCCATACTAAATAAAAAACAAGCGACATGAACCATTCAAAAGACAGATGTTGACAGAAAATGAGAACCTTGACTGCAGCTGAATGGTATAATTTAGTGGTGAAATTAGCTTGCACTTAAATCATGTGTCACAAACCAAAATAACAGATTTGCTGCCTTTGATTGATTGCATTCTATTCACGCACACTACATACAGCAGGCTCGCATAAAAAATGTAGAAAAGTATGTCGTCATAAATAAGCCATTTTATACATTCTCTTCTTCTGACTGTACCCATCTTGGCACTTGCTCTGAACTGCATGGGACCACACAAAACTATGTTGTTTTTTTTCATCCTGTCAGTAAGTAAACCAAGTGAAGAAATGTTAAAAGATGAGGCTGAAAAAAGAATTCACCGGTTTAGGTTCCTGCAAACAAAAATTTGGCACAAATGCTATGCACAAAAGCAAATTGTGCTCACACTACGCTGCTAAAAACAATGTGGCTGCAAATGTGACATGCCAGTTTATGTAAGAGGCATTGCCACCAAACGAGAAAACTGGCTTATCTTGGAGAAAAAGAAGGTACAGTGAATTAAAATGAAAGAGCAGTGATTCTGCGATGAGTCAACTAAATGCACTCCATGTTGGGATATCACTGAAATGCATAGATGAAGCACAGATTCTAAGGCTGTTCTCCGAATGGAGCTTTCTTCTTTGTGATCTTGCAGCACACTGTCATCCACTCGAGGACAAAAGGATGATCACACACACAATGCTGCTTGCTCCAAAACAAGATGGCACAGGAGACTAGAGTGAATGACGGAAAATCGGCTGCCTTTGCAAAAATGGCTCCTTGGCAAGAAAAAAAAACACATGTGCAAAAATTAAGCAAGCGAAATAAGACAATGGTGTTGCATTTCTAGCCCAGGAAAAATGTGCTTTCTTTTCCCTTGACTAAATAAAGCAATCTTGCTCTAGTGTGATGACTGAGAAAAAAATACCACTAATGGGAGAACAGCTGCTTTGCTGAAGGTCACTTGTTGCTTGTCCCGAAGTGCACGAAGTAGTCTCCACTTCCCACATGGCTGAAAACAAGGGGAAGGCATTTCAAATCCTGAATTTTGAAGTATAACAAAAAAAAATTATATATACCTTCTATCATGATAAAAGGATAAACTTTCCACATAGCGACAGTAACTTTTTTTTTTACACAAATAGAAAACATTCTTGATGCATAAGCATTGCTGCTGCCCTGAGAACGTGCAAGCGAAATATTTTGTCCGCTACCCGCAGCAGGAGACCTACAATTTTGCATAAGTAGTTCACACACTGAGGCGGATTTGATGTCATGATATCAGCAGCAGCATTACAACAGTCACGATGGCCACTCTTAATCACCACAAGACATTAGCAAGCAGAAGGCACCATACCCTTCTAGAGAGACAGCGATAGTATTAAATGGGTGGTTGGTAACACATCTCGCTTGTCCTAGACACCTCTGTCAAGCCTTGAAAGTATAACTTGAGTGCACAGAGAAAAGAAAAATAAGGAAGCAAAAGTGATAGGTAGGACCCAAACTGAGAGCAGCCAGCAAGAGGGCTAATAGACAAAGCACAACATTTTATATCTGTATTCTTTCCAAAGATTACATTAAACAACATTTGTTTTAGTATATTGCCTAGGATTGAAGCGAAAAGCTTGAAGCTTTATAATTCTGTATTGTTCAAGAGGCAGTATCATCAAGGAAAGACAGATTTGCATATTGTTCTTAGTGAACATCATGCTCCCTACAAAACACAAGTCAAATCCTGCAGTAGGAGTTCTCCAGCATCATGTGTAATTACAGCCATGGCAGAACTTACACACCTTGCATTCTCATAGATTGTTGGGAATGGTGAACATTCTTCTCTTGGTCACACATATAAATTTGTTGATAGCCAGTTGATACAATTATTTGTCACTTTAAAGACAACTGCGAGTACCACACACAAGGTAAAGGATTTTTCACAATTTTAGGGGTGGAAGCGGGCTTCAGTCTTTTGGAGCAGCTTTGGGAGCAGGAATAATGCAACTCAATAAACAATTGTATCGGACCAGCAGGAATAATTCATTTTTGGAGCAGCTTTGGTGCAGTAAAAAGGGGGTTTGGAGCAACTCTGGAGCAGCAAAGGTGTGTTTTGTAGCAATTTCTCAGGCCACACATCACTGTTAATTAGAATTTTTGCTTTCTGGTAAACACAGAACATTTCAGTGGTTTTTTAAACATGCAATGCTGATCAAGTGACCATATCTACCCCAAGAGCATATATATTAAACCTTACATCAAAGGTGAAAGCGCAGCAACTCAAAGAAAAAACATAAGTGGCGTTCTGAACAGCTACTCGACCTCAAAAGAATGAAAAAAAGTTTAAGTTAAAAAGCTGCTATGTTCAAAAAGTGATTAAAACACCACATCCAACATGAACAGTAACTCAAGACTAAAGATGAGCTACTATATTATTAAAGTTATCCTCATACTAAACCCATGAGACTCCTTAAAAGTAAATCTAAAAAACTGATGTTCCGGTCATTCAAGTGCCACAGCCGACATGAGAACCACGAAGAAATTCAGATGCACTCGCCGTGCCATTGATAGACAATTGAGTGAAACTTTTTTATTATGATAGGAATTACATGGACACTCAATGGGTTTTCGTCGTCGCCGCCATGTTCCGCGTAATCTACTAGTTGGTACCATTCCTCGCTCATCGTATGTTTGACTTGTGCGTAAAATTGTGCAAAGTGGGATGATGAGCGCACTTCAAGCAGAAATGAAATGAAATGGTGATCTCCGTCCCTCGAAGGGCACACGCGCTAGCATCTCACTGCGTGCTAGAACTACCATCAAATGCTCAAGCAGTGAGGAGATACGCCACCCGTCTTGAATGAGCATGAAAAGACGTGGGAGGGGGATGGCTCGAGCAGCAGCCATGAACTTTAATTCTAATGAAGGGTGCGGTTGTGACAGCTGGTGCGCGCAATATCGGCAAGCATCAGCACACCGTTCTAAGTGGTGCGCTCTCAACGAGAAGAGATTGTGCGGTAAGAGCACTTCTCCCTGGAGCGGATGTTCTTAATTTTTTACACCAGCGTTTTGTAGTTGTGAGTGTCACGATGTCAGATCCAAAAGAGTTAGCTGTCAGCTCTCGTATTGTCACAGGGTCGTGAATTCGACGAAGGCAGCAGCCGCTGTTTTCATGAGTGAACTTTTTATTTGGGCTAATCTGTGCTCGGAAAACGAAACGTCACTCTGCAAGCAATACACCCTCTAGACTGATAGCATCGAGCATAGAGCATTGGCTGTCGATTATCTGCCATGCAGCAAAGTGCAGTGGCATTTATACTTGTGCCATCGAAGATTCCAGAGTTATCGCTAGCAGCCACATAAGCTCTAGAACAAACTGTAATGTATGTGTTGTACGCATGCATAATCTCATTGGAAAGTTCTATGATTATATAGACAGTCCCCAGTCGTTTAAACACGGTTTGTGCAAGGCAGCATTTCACGCGTAATGGTGCAGTAACAAAAATAGAAAAAAAGAGCACGTGCAGCATCACCATTACAACATTACAAATTGTTGCTATTGTAGTCATCGCTACGCCAGTGACACCAATTTTTATTTTTTTTCCATTTTAAGACAAAAAGCTCACAGCACCATTGCTGAGCAACCGTTGAGCACAGCCCATTCGCCAAGGGGTTGCTTGGCAATCGTGCTGCGAGTTTTTTTTTCCACAGCACTGTCGTCTTTATAGTTTGCCTAACAGCTTTGATTTTAAAACATACATAGAGTCGCATAATAAGGTATGCACACAAACGCTACCTTAACAAGAATCATGCATTGTGTTCATGCGGCACAAGATTCATGCATGATCTGAATAAGACTTTTGATATGGATGCGGAATTTCAATAATAATATCCGGGGTTTAAAAGGACTGTCTACCATCCTTCACTGCTTTTCTGTTTAGTGTTGCAATAAGAAGCGTACTATCTGTAGTGTATAATCTTGCAGTACTTTCTCTGGAAAGTGTGTAGAAATTTTTAAAACATAATTTTGCTATCTGGCACAGCAAGTCAGATTGGCGCAGCATTTCCACCCCTGCAATTTGGGTCACACAGCTTCATAGTTAGACATCATTAATATGCCCTGCTTGCTGGATCAGATGAACTTGTAATGCTCTATGTCACAGCTATTTCTGCATCGAGAGTTTTCAACTGCAGCAGTATGGACGGATGATGGATGAAAGAACTTTTAAGTCCAATAGGTCACTAGCTAAGCCCGAAGCGGGTCGCTTTCTTGTTGGGACTTAATCACATAGCCTTTCAACCACTTCACGGGCCCACTGGACTGCCCATAATTGTCCCTCTAATATCGAACTATGTAGAGCTGCATCCCACTGTTCTTCAGTGTTTTCCTTGTCGCTGCGTAACACGGAGCAACACCAGAGCTTATGAGCAAGACCTATGGCGTCGTGGCATTAATTTTGGCTATAGGAATAGAGAACTTTAGCAAGATATTGTTAATTAACAGTAGATTTGGGTAAGTTATTGTTTGTAAAAGCCTTAGCGTAATGGACCAAGCTCTGTTTAGTCAAGGTTAGTCTAGAGGAGCGCACTCGCTCACTCCTTACGGCTTGAGCAGCCACCGTGAGTACAATGGAGCTTTTTCTTTACAGTGGCGACAGCACACTATGCGTGAGGTCATCGCGAGCCAACTCTTTAAAGCATCTTTCTTTGCATATGCTTCGTACTATAAAACAGCTGTTCCCAACCACTTTCTAGTGCTTCTTTCGTTTGAGAAAGCAGTAACAGCAATAGAGGTGCATGTGGCTATCTTGGCACTCATGCCCTCGGAAAATAAAGACGCACATGCATCACTACCAGAAATTTTATTTTTTAAGACTCAACCATCTTATATTCAATGAATTCGAAAATGATTGAGGCCTGTGTGCATAGATTTAGATCTGCACCACAACAGATTGCTGGCATTTCAGACAGTAAATCCCCACTGCTTAAAAATAGTATGGACAGAATGCTGATGCATATATAACCGAGTGTGTCTTTTCGCTCACTTTCTACAATGAGATGTGTGATCTCATCCTTTTGTCCAGCCACTCGCATGTTTGGTTGCTAATGTTATTGTTTTCCTGTGTGGGGATTGGCTGAGTAGTGGGTGAATAAAAAAAAAATTCTCGGTAGTGAATCATTCGTAGAAGATACAGCTCTACAGCCGAGCCCACATATAATGACTCCATTTATAAAGAACTTTTGCTTAAAACAGACAATATCCACGTGACTGTGAAAACATACATTGTTTCAATGACACAAAATTGCACTTACAACAAAGGTCTCCGAGCGCCGCTGATCAGTTACAGCGAACGGAGTCGGCGCTCTGCCGACTTCCCGGGAAATTACTTTCGTTGACCAAATCAGACATCATGCCCATACATTCTTATTATTAAACCCCGATTCTGTCTCCGCGCTTCTCTAGTTGCTGCTCTCCCCGACCGCTTTTTGCTACGCACCCCTCTAGTCCTTTGTCCCCCCACTACTCTGAGCACCCTGCATCACCAGACAAGGCCAATCTTTTCACACTGCCACCGATCTTTCGAAAACCGGTCTCCCCTCAGTTTTCGACCGCTGCTACTGTCATTGGCGTCGCCGGCCTGGAGTGACCAGACCATTTGCCTACATTGTCGGCCACTGACTGTATCCGATCGTCTGCGTCGCATTTTATTGTATCATTTCAGTGCACGCGCGTACGCTACCCCGCCGACTTTGATAATTCGCGATTGGTTTCGTGTTTAGGACCTGTTCTCGCTCACTTCGCACTCTGCTCAGCATGCCCTCCGCACACGTGCGGAAGAGTAAAAACAGCTGTTAATTTGCACGGAACGAATTGTGAAATATCCAAGTTGGTGAGGCCACGCAAACCCCATGGTGCAATCAACGTTTTTTTTTTACCACGGCCGCCAATTTTTTGAACACCGCGCGCACAATGATTCAGATGACTTTTTTAGATCTCTGGGCATACAGGCACTCTTTTAAAGTTTTTCTACGCGTGAGTGGCGCGTTTCACGAACCTTACAAGCAAGCTACCCGACTTGCCTCCTTCCCGCTGTATCCTCCCATCTCTTCCCTCTATCGCAACTCCTTGCCCTTCTCTCGCAAATCTGCTCTTCTCTCTTGATCACAAACCCTTTGCTCGTCTTCACCGCTCCGTGACGCCAGTCATGCTGGCTCGAATTAGTTTAGTTTTATGACTAGAAATGGGCCCAGAGCTATTCCACGCGTTCTGGAATGTATGCAGTGTTGCGCGTCTTGCTCACTCTTGGTGTGCGTGTGGTCAAAGATGGCATACAGGAGGTCTTGCACGCTTTTTCCTGCCACTCAAGAAAACACTGAAAGTGTAGCCGCTTGGCTTGGGCATCATCGGCACGTTAGGTGCCGCGTTGCAGAGTGCTTGCTTGTAGCTGTTGACCAGCTGGCAGCCACCTTGCCGCTTCGGGCGTCCTGGTGTTCAGCTTAAGAGATAGTGAACATTTCGTGGGCGGTGGTGATGGTTACATGCACGGCACCCACTTCGTTGACGTTGGGCCCGACGCCGAGCCTGAAACTTCCGAACAGGACCACTGCGGCGGCGATTTGTGGCAGAGTGTTGTCAACTCCGACATGGGAGAGTGGGTGGGATATCTGCTGCGATGGTTTCATTACGGCCGATGATGATGCCGACACCGCGGAACCGTGCATGGATTAGGGCATTGTGAATAAAGTATGCATTAAGAGGGATTTGAAGAAATCGGTTGCGAGAACGACGAAATTTTGGAGTCAGTGCCTCATGCAGCTTATGCCACGGGCCTTGGCGATGAGCATGCTGCCGTTCAAAATAAACTCGAGACTGCCATTATCGCTTTCGCTCTTCGAAACACATGCGTCACAAACTTTTCGGGGCAAACAATTTTATGTTTTCATTCGCAACTTTTTTAAAAGCTGTGTTTCATTGACTATGAACTTCGGGATACAGCTAACGGATGCCGTGTCAGGCTCAGGCTTGTTATAAGTGGGCTCGACTGTAAATATTCATCCAATTTCTCGGAGTTGCAGAAAACGGGAGAAAAACCAGTGTGTTATAGCCTCATCTATGCTTTCCCGAGCAACAGAAGTGGGTTGCTTCTGTTGTCTCAGTGGGTTATATTTCCTCCTTGTCTCCGCCATGCATTATTTTCTGTTAAGATTCGTCACATGTGTTTACCTGTGCATCCATCTTATTTTTCTTCCTTTTAACTATAGTGCCAGTCTTAGCACAGTATGAGTACCTGCTATTTCATGTTATTTAAAGCTTGTGCTTATTATTATTATTATTATTATTATTATTATTATTATTATTATTATTATTATTATTATTATTATTATTATTATTATTATTATTGTTAGTAGTAGTAGTAGTAGTAGTAGTAGTAGTAGTAGTAGTAGTAGTAGTAATAGTAGTAGTCCTGCTAGTGTGACCCTGATTTAGAGGTATTAGCAAGAAACAGTGGCCGTCCTAATTATATATACTTTAAAATTTTTAGTATTTATTTCAACATTAAAGCAAGAACTATAATGCCATCAACCAATAGCAGAAATTGACTCATTTTTTCGTGCCGTGACGACCAGCATGTGTACTAGAAATAAATGTTTCCTACACACTTTTTTCAACAAAGAATAAGTTATGCACAATTTTTCCTGATGATTGGGCCTAAACTTCTGAGTGCGACAAATGCAGTATTCAGCCTCCTACTCATTTCTATGCACTACAGAAGACGAATTTTTCTTACAACCTCAACGATGCTTTTCGGTGCAACAGAAACAGACAAATAAGTGGTCTCCCCTTCGGAAAAGTGGAGATCACATTAGTTACCCAATGTGCTGGAAACCATGTTCATATCACATTGGTGGCACGGAGTGACTTCAGAAAAGACGACAGAGAGTTTTAAGCCGGGAATTCCCCGTGCGCAATATCCTCTGCAGCTGCTGGCAGCAGAGTGTCTTGTCGCGGTGGTCTAGTGGCTAAGGTACTTGGCTGCTGACCCGCAGGTCGCGGGATCGAATCCCGGCTGCGGCGGCTGCATTTCCGATGGAGGCAGAAATGTAGGCCCGTGTGCTCAGATTTTGGCGCACGTTAAAGAACCCAAGGTGGTCTGAAATTTTCGGAGCCCTCCACTACGGCGTCTCTCATAATCATATGGCGGTTTTGGGATGTTAAACCCCACATATCATTCAATCAAAGCTGCTGGCAGCGAGCTAGCTCGAAGCGCCCCTGCCAAGCTGCGGCAATAGGTAGCAACAGCCCCCCTTTCCTCCAGACTGGCCAAGAAGCCTCCAGACTGGCCATGGTTTATTTTACTGTGTGGAGGGGAGAAGATCCTGCTCCTAGGTGTTTGGTTAGCTTGTTGTACGATGTGATCCCTGCAGTCTGAAACCTCAGCATCTTTTTTTTTTTCTTTGTGGCTGCACAGTTGACAAGTCCTTGTGAGGCACTGTGGGCAGATTTGTTGAGGTTCGCGAGAGCACTATCGGTTCCTCCCATGCGAGCAGGAAACTGAGTAATCACATGTGGTTTGATTACTTTTCTCATAAGCATTGCCACAGCCTGTCTAGAAATTACTCTTATGGCAAATGCTCAGACGGCTCTCCTAAAGCTACTGTAAGTTGCAATGAAATGGCTGCTTGCTCAGCAATTTCCGATTATGCGGTGCAGATGGAAGCCGAGTTCACCAGTTCACTTTTACAGTTGTGAAGGGACATGAAAGCCACGTCTGCAGACAAGCATTATTCTGCCCGATTTTTACCTCTTTCTAGTAAGGCTCTGCCTTGCCTTTTTCTCACATTATGAATGGGGTGAACATTTCTTGGGAACAGGCATAAATAAGTATTGTCTTTCAAATTGTATGAGTTTTGTTTCTGATTATCACGCTTAAATTTCTTTTCGTAACCAATCACACACAATGTTGGCTTGGTATAGTATAATTATGACAGTGGCCAGAAAGAGTTAGCAATGATATGATAAATATAAGATTAAAATCTTACTCTTCACATTGGTCAGCATTTGCTGAGCTGATCGAGTCACTGTAGAGGCTAAGGACACCAGAATCCTGGATTTGCACATTCATTATGGAGCCCGTAAAGCCCTTGAGGTATCGTTCTGCAGTCATTTCTCTTGGTTCAGGGGCACCTCCTGCGAGAATAAGGCCTGTTGATTTGACAAGCCCCTATGTCACGAGGAAAGAGCTCACCAATAAAGATGTCGCTCTTCGTGTTCAGCATGACAAGCAGACCGAGGGATTCCCCGTGCACTTCTTTGGTATCGACCTTGAGTGTGCCTCGTTTTCCAGTTCTGCAAAGAAACAGCCATATATGCAGACACAACATGCCCCACGGAGTTGCACATTGCTGTGGCTGTAGTCCCTGGAAAAGCTGGCACCATCGTTAACAGATTCGTTCCCTAGCTGTGCACGTTTTTTGCTTATGACATCAAATGCTTGGCTTTTCACACAATGTTCAACGGCACTAAGAAAGGAGGAGCAGTGAGGAAGTTGAAACAATTCGAGATCCTGTATATCTGACAAGCTACATTCACATGAACGTGACAGTTGCATTTTGAAATGCATTGTAAGTAATTTTATGCATTTACTTGTAGCACATGATGCAATGTGCCTGCCAACAGTCAATCAGAACTTTAGAGATAATCTTTGCTTTCATGTGACATATTCATTGATAACAGACACAAAACAGGATTCTCTTTAATTATCAGGAGTTTTAATGTGCAGATTTTGATATCTTACCTTCTGAGCTCCACTGTATGCATGCGTCCGTCATCAACCCTTTCTTCTGACACAATCTCGGCAGGACCACCTCCCATTTCATAGCTAAAAAATAAGAAGCAAAGGCTCTTTTTAACAGGGTTTGCTCTGATAAACCTATTTAAATGAGTGTCTTGTATTGCCCTATCTTGTATTGTGGTGTTTTACATTTCGCTAATGCATAAAGCCAAGACTACTTATAAAAAATTGTTGCACCATAGGATTCACAAAAAAAAAAGAAATGCATTAGAAATTTTTTTAAAAAGAGGAGTTTGTAATGCAATTAAGAGCTTTGTGTAGTGGAACTAATATTCATGTTTGAAGAGACTGAATCAGCATACACAGGCTGAGCTCATAAGCACAAGAAGCAGATATCAATAAGTCCTTTATTTTCTTGATATGAAGGTTGATTACAATAGTTCAATTTTTGTATCAACAAAAAAGTTTGTGTTCAAGATTTCTTACAATAGCAGATCATTTTGAACAAGCAAGCATTCATAAATGGTTTTATATGACCACTTTTATGGAGGCAATCCTGGTTTATGTAGTCTCTGGCCGCGGCTCAAACTGACATTTTTTTTTAGTCGTAACTTCAATGGCAAATTTTTTTTTTTTTATCTTGAGTGATGTTGTTCATAGTGATAATTTTCTCAGAGATTTCAAATGAGCTTCTTTTTCCAATCAATAACAAAATACTGAGCACAAAATCTGCCATTCTATGCATAATAGAGCATGGGAATTAAAAATAATAGCAATTTGGTCAAAAAAAGCCATTTGGGCTAGTTAGTAGCGGTTCATTATGTAAAATAGAAGTGGCACGCAGTTCGTAACTGGACTAGAGGAGAGAAGAGTATGCTTGTATTGTTCTTCTCACCTCCAGACCATGTTGCGTACTACGCCCTACTTCTATCTTCCACAATGTGGACAAGTTGTCTAATATTCACCAGGTCTAGCCAGTATTGCAATTTGCAGTGGTACAAGGGTAACATGATAGTACCTTAAAGATACTATTGAGAATCTGTATTTCTGTATCAGATACATGCCAAAAATGTATTTGTGAAGTACTTTTGCAACGTATCATTTATATCAAGATACTGTATCACCGGTACCTCGTTACTTTGGAAATGAGTTAACATGTTTTCAAGAAGTGGAGGAAAGACTTTTCTTGGCGACGGCAAGTATGCAAGTTCCCCCGCCAATGGACCTCAACTGGGGTACATCACAGCGTGCCGTCACCGGTGCACGTGCAAGGCGGCGGTTGGCAATACACTCCTGCCAGAGGCTGAGTAGGGTGCAGTCGCTCGGTGCTTGGGGCAAGTTTTTTTTTTTTTTCTTGAAAACTTAATCTTTATTTCCCAGTGGTAACATTAGCTGTGGTATGTGTCAGAGAACATTTTTGTGTGTGGTATTGTGAGTGACAAAATATTTGCCACACTGGCTGGCTGTTTATCTCGAAGAAGTGAACACACATGGCGGCCTATGCGAGGTGGTGTGTGCAGTGTGACTAACGTGATGCGTCTTGTTTGCGAAAACACTGGTATTCGTTGTGGGCCTGTTGCAGTAACCGGTTGTCGATGAAACTTTATGATCTGACACTTTGGTCAAGGTAAAAATGCATTTGACACGATCATCTGCAAGTGGGTAAATCTCAGTGTATGTGCGGCATGCGGAAAAATAAAAGTGCATAATCTCCGGGTAATATATATGACTACGCATAAGCTATAAGCATGTTGTAGCCTTGCCGAATCTCCATATGTGCTTCACAGTGGCTATAACTCGTATTATCGGATACCTGATACTTGTTAATAGAAACAGTGAAAATTTCCGTTTCTTATCCACTTTGTACTTTTACGACTCGATCCTTATGAAGTGACACTGCACATTAGAAGTTTGTGTATCAGGCCTAAAAGAGCAATATAGGTATGAAAACACGTTATAGGTGTCAAATACAGCAAGGTAACTGTGCCAAACAATATTATATATTATTAAGTTGTCAGGTTTTATATCACATGAATTTTCACAGGGTTACTAAGAAATGCAGTGGCAGAATTTCACTTTAATTTTCACAAGGACATGTTAACCTCAGCCTAACGTACGGCAAGAAGTGTTTCCTTTTTTCATTCATCTCCGATCAGACTTTTTCACAATGAGTGAGAATCTTATCCATGACGTCGCCCACAGCAGCTCAAAACCATGCTGCTGCCAATGCTGTACCTCATTTAAAACTGCATTGCACATGCCACGATGTAAATTGAATAAATTCACATCCATGCCATGCAAATAGTTCTCAAAGTGCCAGTCACCTTGTATATTCAAAATGTTCGCTTTCCAAAAAGATCAGATTTTTCTCATGACTGCTATAAGCCCACTGCGTGCTGGTCATGCCTCAGTATTCCAAATAAAGTTTCTTCATCCATCTATCTACTACGAGCAAAGAACAGTGACCCTTCCACGACCCCCTTCTTTCAAACGCTGTGACTTTAGAACATAGCAATGTAGATATTTCTGTTGAAGGAATGCAAACACGCAGCTTTGCTATGCAGAAAGATGCCGCCGGCGGAACTTTCTTGTCAACCAGCACCTTCTCCGAGAGAGGGTATGGTGGGCGGGATGCCAGCAGTTTTGTTTCAACAGTAGTCAACAGCAGTCATTGTTTACAAACAGGAAGAGGTCTATTGGTGACACTGGGAGGGCAGCAAGAGGTACCCCACACAGAATGGCCCGAGAAGTAAAGCACCAGACGCCGCTCACATTAGGATCACAGTAGCCTGAAGATCGCGGTTGTCGACCACTGCGCTCTCAAGGCTAATGCAGCACCCCTAATTTTCAAGGGTGGGCCACCAGTCATTACACAAGTTCACAAGCCTTGTTGAAACTGTACCGACGCCGTTAAGAAGACAGCCTATTCGAGAAGCTGCTGTTTCTTAAGTGCAATCAACGTAACAACTTTTCTCATCAAAACACACCTTGAGTGCCAAATAAATGAATACTTTTTCTTAATTTAATAGTATTTATTTGTGATTCAAGAGATATGCTTGGTTTGCAAGTTTAAATGTGCCACAAGATTATTCACATTGTTCTGCGGCACTCAATAATCTCCATGTGCATTATTAAAACCCTCAAAACAAGGAAGTATTCCATTATTTGTATTCTTGCATATATATTCTGGGATACTTTTTTTCTCCTTTTTGCAAGTATATCTTTGAAATATATCTTTGAAATATCCCAAACATCAAAGGCAAATGTATTTCAGTATCTGTATTTCAGGATTACACCACATGTATTTTGATAGTACCTAAATTCCTGAATACTTTTCTGGATATCTCTGTCCAGCCCTGACATTGGCTTGCGTTCGTCATTGTTTTACTTCCTACATTTTCCCTTACCTCACATTTCTCATTCTAAGTATGAGTGGCACTGGAGGCAGTAACAATTTTCAAAGCACAAATTTCATAAAAGAGCGATGTATATGAACAGAAAAACATTGGCACAAAGCCTGGCACTGATGGTCATATGAAAGCGTGATTGCTAAGAATGATGCAACACCTTACACGGCTAGCTATGTCATTACGCAGTTAATCCAACATTTTCTGTTGTATATGTAAAAATATTAAATGAGAGACGTTCACTCCAGTGTGCAATGCCCAGCAGAAATGAGTGTGAGAAAGAAGCATCAAAGAAATAAGAGAGTGCTCTCCTACAAGTGAATACTAATCAAGCCGACAAGTTGAAGCGCAATGCCCCTTCCATTAGCCACTAGCATTGTAGTTGTGTATCTTCTCATGCAGACAAAGCAGTTATAGGTGAGCTATAATGACTGAGCACCTGAGAACTTCTAAACTGGTATGTTACTTCGTCACTCCACCCAGCTGTAAACATAATTTGCTTATTTATGCTATAGGTGGTACTACAGTCCCATACAATGTCTGCACATGCACACCTGAATTCAAGGTATCCATTTTTAAGTCCCAATGAGATATAGTCCTGGCCCTTGGCATCGACACCACGTGGCTGGCCTTGGAAAAGCAGGAGTCCCTCATGGTGCTTTGTCAAGAAGCTGAGCCGGATAACTTCGGACACATTGCTTGCAGCGTGCGTCAGTCGGTCCCTGCTCAGTGCAATCCAACCATCCCCATGGAAATCGGCACACTCATCAAAGATCGTTTCTGCACAATCCAAAATTGAAAAGAGGGGAGGGGGGAGGGGAGTTTCAATAATTACGGCAGGCAAGATGTTAAATATTGTGCATTCACTTCATTTCTTGCACAAAATATGAGCCAGTGTCATGCTGACAGCAAAAAGTACTCATAATCCCTAGATTATGACATTTTATGCATTCGTTTATACTGTAAAATGTTATGAGCAACATTTCAATACATGTATACCTAATAGCACCTCTTATGTACAGATGTTCATGCCAGCCCTTTGACATGACACGAACCATAACACCCAATCAATGTCACTGCGAAAAATGGTAGTTGATTCACAGCTTGAACGTTTTAATGAAAACAATACAAATGAACATGGCACATGTGCAAAGAGCAGCAACTTTTAAAGTGAATGGGTTCACTAAACCTACAGTTATGCAGCAAGGAAAGCAGTCTGTTGTTGGACTGTGTACAAATGTACAAAACACGAAGGAAGAAGACAGGCATGTCCTGTCTCCCCACCCCCCCCTTTTTTTAATTCTTTGTTCATGTTTTGTTCTTTTGTGGGCTACCCAACAATGGACAGGTTCCACCAAACCTACCTTCCAGTCCTACTAAAGTAGAACAGAAGAAGCTGTTTAGACTTAGCTAAACTAGCATCAGCACTCATACAACTTGAAACTATCGTCATTATATTGTTGAAAATGATGAGCATGGCCTTGAATAAGCATATATACTGATAAGCACTTCACTTGAGTGTACCAAGTGCACTAGAGTTGCATCCTAGAAGTGGCCTGGGAACAAAAAACATACCCTTGTATTCTAGAACCTCCCTTCACTCCACGCTTCGCCTTCACTTGAGAAAGCTGATGGGAGCGCCATCTCTAGGTACGGCAAGTCACTGCATATCAGCGATAGTCTGCTGCGATTCTTGAGCAGCGCAGCGTCATTTTCAGCCGAGTGGTGACGCAGTGCTCAACTTTGTCAAGTGAAGGGTGAAATTCGAGTCGAGGAGCGTTCGTGAATACAGGGGATAGTATAACTCAAGGCTGTAACCACCCGCAACCCACACTCCAAATAAAGAAAAGAACAATAACAGCAAATTCTCGAAAATAGCCCTCACACCACACATATACACATATGAATCACATGAAGTCTTCAAAATGGCCACACCAATGCTACCCCTCAAACCATTTTGTGTGCACTGGAACTGGACTTTCGTGTATGGGCAACAGCATTTCTCAGCCAAGACGATATTTCTGGCATTGAGTCATATTACTGATCCAAATTAAAGATGAAGTGATTCACATCTCATATTACAGATGAAATATGTTGAAGTGGCTTATTTCTAGAACACAATTTACTGAGAAAACTGAACTGCACAGGTACAATGTACATTGCTTTTAGCAGACAGACTTGAGTGACATAGTGAATACAGGTCACTGTTGTAAGCATGAAACAAGAATTCCAACTGAGATGCAATTATGCTGAAGCTTTACACGTATGGTCAAGTATTTGACACTTCAGTGTTTATGGTACAGCCAATTAGTCCCTTAGCCAGGAATTTTCTTTTGTGGAGGGGAGGGGGCAATGCACTTGCTGAAGGTCTTTACTATTTGAGAAAAGCCGTCTATTTTCATTATTCACATAAACAACCCCTTTATCAAATTCTTAGAAGCTTGCTTAGAAAGCTTCTTATGCTTGCGCCTTATCCGGCGGCAGCCAGCGTTTGCACCAATGTTGCCAGTGTACACTTTTCCGGTCGCCACTTGCGACCTCCTCTCAAATTATTCCAACAATGCTCACTAGATGGCATGCCACCACCCAAGGTGCCAGTTTTGGAAGGCCCACCCGCTCTCCTTGCTCATGGCTACATCCACTTTGTCCTCGTCGTTTTGTAGGCACGGCAGCATGTGACAAGTCCCTACGATGAGTGTCACGCACGGGTAGCGATATCCTCCCAAGCCCTAATATCCACCTGCCTACTGTCAACCCCATTGAAGAACACCTGATAGGTACGTCTGCCATTAATGAGCAATAGGCATTTGACAAAGAGGCAGGAGGTTAACATGCCGATTGACGTGACCAACACTGTGCAGTACCAGCCGTGGAACGTGCCTGACAATACTGCTTTTAACGTACACATCATGCGCTGGCTCGTTAACAAGCCTTTCTACAGAAATGATCTCACCAAGAAACGCCTCATGCACCTCCGAGCAAGCTCCTCTAACATCACCCACTTTGTTGATATGGTGATTATATTTTTTATTGGTTAAAACGGAGGGTGGTTAGAGCCCCCTACCCTTCCCTGGCTATAAGCCTGCAGCCTATATGGCTTAATAAATTCAATACGCTTCCATGTTACTGAAATGAGAATAGAACAGAGTAGAATATCATACAACGGAGCTTCTGAAGCAGCTACACCAGGCTGCATTACAGCATTGTGCCATAACACACTGGATAGCATGAAATCTGATATATGCTTAATAAGTTTATTCGCACTGCCTCTACCTCTTTGACAATGAAACAGCGCTGCTAATATCTGCATAAGATGCTGATGCGACAAACATTTGTAAGTGTGCTAGAAAGTAATAGAATGTCCAAATGTATAGACACACACCCCTGGAGGTGGTTATGTAGGACAAGCACAAGCTCACACTGTTTATTCATCAGTAAAGCCACTGAATAAATAAGAAAATCATGACACCAAAGGCACATACACAAAGACAAGAATGTTTTACTATCAATTCAGGTACATCTCTCATTTAATTTTTATTATTAAAAGTAATGGTCAGAAGGAGCTTAGTTTTTTGTAAATCAGTAGTTACTTTTAATTTGCTGCAAGTGGTTTACAGTAGCGAAGCGACACACATACCTTTGTACTGTGACTGGAAAAATGGCTCACCTGATTCACAGTTGGGTCCCTTGTAGCCTTTTGGACAATTGCACCTGTATGAGTTAGCCAGTCCAACACACTCGGCATTGTTTTGGCATGGGTTAATTTTCTGACAGAAGTCATCCTGGTTCTCACAGGTCCTACCTGTAGGGGAAAAGCACTACACTGTGCATCCTCCTCTTTATATGCAGTTAACATACAGCGGACTCTCGTTATATGTAACCTGAAGAGACCAAAAAGTTTGTTCCATTTAACATGAGGTCTGTTCACTAAGAGATGAGAAAAGGTGTACAATTCAAGTACTAGAGCAATCATATCAGCATCAGTTATTTCATTTATTAGGAACAGTTCCACTAAAGAGATTTACATTTACTGAGAGTCCCCTGTACTATTGCAGTCACATATTTTATTTATAAATAAACTTATATTTATGCAATTTTGTTTGTGAAAGCATTGAATGCGTAACATAAACTTGCATTTTATACAAGTGGCTGGGTTATACTGGCTAGTGTGATAAGCAGAAGGGTCTCTGCATACGTGAAGATGGCAGCGTCACCTGCTATCAAGGTGCCAACCACATAAACAGGCACGGCTCAATGCAGTTATGTGACTCATGCTATTTAAAGACGTGTAATGTAATTGTGGAAACTGTCAATTCACACAGATTCAGAGTTTGTATTTTATGCAGTTGTCTGAGCAGCTGTATGGTGTCCCCCTGTGTTTTTGAGCATTTATATCCCACTTCTGAGAATGTTAGCATTTTTGGGGAGATAACCGCAAAAATCGAACGATTTTAAAAAATTCACAGTGCACCCACTGTTGAAAGGTGAAAAAAGAAGGTTGTATTTATTTGTGAAAATGTGGTTACAATATCAGTTGCACAACCACTCAAAACCGCACATGCTCACATCGCCTAAATGCATAGCCACTCAAGTCGCTCGCACTTCGTAGACTTTCCATTGTGATCAAGGTGTGAATGCTGATGGGTCTGTAGCGTAGCGCTAGTGGCGGCCAGCCAGCTAGGGAAAAAGATGACGGGCCCTGGTGACTCGTGATGCGCGGAGCCTAGAATGTTAGTTTTTTTCTGGCTGGCTGGACGCCATGGTCGCTGCTCTACTTCGACACCTCGCTCCGTCTACATCTCGTCTTATTCATTAAACCAGCAACGACAGCACGTCTACATCGAACGCTCTACCATCGCTACAGGTCATTGTCCAGCACTTCAAGTGTAACCTGTGTGCGGTGGTTGTTGAAGTTGGCAACTGGATAGGTGTCAGCTGGAAAAACTGCCATGATTATCAGGGGACCGCTATATTTTGGCTGTGCTTTGGATGGTTTTCCTGTCTGTTCTGGAGCCCTCGCCATGAAGTTTATGTCCTGACACTGTACATTTTAGCCGGGAAGTGTCGCTTGTCGTAAGTGACCATCTTCTGCTCACTGATGAGGCACCGGCATACACATCCATGCAGCCCGCCGGATTCCTCCCACACTGTCACCTTCGATTCAACAAGGCACTTCAGTGGCACTCTGTGAAATTCTGGTCAATAACCGTGTAACGTTTCGAAGGGAGTTTTCCCGATCATTTTGTTTACAGAGTTGTTCAAGCTGCATTCTGCCTTAACAAGCTTTTCATCGCAATCTTGCTGCTCTGTATCACTTATCAATGTAGTAATGACTGGTAGCAGTGTACTGTTCACACTCTTGACTAGGTCGTAAGCTTGAAGGTGTCAAGTGGAGTTAAGCACATGATTTATCACTCTGGCACTGCAAAAATCTTCAAATGCTCATGATGCAAAACAGCTGCCCCTGACAGTAATGATCCATCTACATAAGCCTCTCTCTATTGTGAAGTCCCAAATCGCCTCGAGAACACCCTCACAAACCTCGTCAGGTTGTCCACAATCACGAAAAAGTACTGGTTGTGTCACCTTCTTGGCACAAAGGGTCCCATATGTCAAAATGGTTGATTGGTTGAGTTCCATGTGAACCACTTAAAATGGCCTCTTGCCAGGAGAAATAGGATAAGAAATCCTTCCTGCTTTCTGGAACGAAGCTTATTGTTTATACACTGAACGCGCTGTGATATATGCTTACAAATATAGTTTCGCATGCGTGGAAACCAGATGCTCTTTTGTATCTTGGATACTGTTCTGTAGAGCACAAAATGTTTCATCAAGCCGTGGAACTGCACTGCCAATTCTTTAATGTGCCACTCTCAAAGAGTAGGCCCCTGGTCCATTACTCAGACCAGGATGAATTTACATTTAGACGAGGAGCATCTTGCTCGTGGGTATGTCACATCTCCGGCGTCTGCACTCCACTACGCACGTGCGACTCTTATTCTTCCTTCTCTCAAACAACTTCTCTCCTACCACCTGCTAGAACTCGCTTCCCCATTGTGCATCCCCTCCCCTCTCTCTCCTCTCCTATGCTGCCCTCTCCTGCCTTGCGATACTCACTCTCCCCTCTTCCCTATGCTCACTCTCCCCTCTTCCCTAGGCATTCTTCCCTACGGCGTCTCACTAAGGCAACGCAGAAAGCATTTGCTAGCGCGTTTTGATTGAAGAAACCGTTCACTGGCAACCCCGTATATGTAGGCACTGAATCTTGACCTCCACGGTAGTGCCGGTGGGAGATTTCTCTTAAGCATTGTTGAACCGTGAAAAATTCGCAGTGTGCGCATTACCTAAAAAAATGCCACGCCTGTGCAGAAGGCGCAGCACAGTCACAGCGAAAGGTAGAAGAGTGGCCTTTCAGTGCTTTTTCTTAACACTCATTTGGTAACTGCTGCAAGCACACTTGCTGGGCACCCACTACAACATTGATAATAATAATTTATGCTATTTTTCATCATTCTTCTGAGAAGTGTTGTATCCGCTAAACACTTGCAAGGAATGTCGTGCCAATTTTTTATGCGGAATTACGATGAGGAATTACGCCTGAAGTGGGTATGCGCCACAGTTAATAGGTGTTCAAAAACAAGCTTTTGTAATGGGTTGGAGCAATAGACGACCCACTCGTTACACTATGTGCATTGTGTGATGCCTTGTTGTTCTTTTGCTGTTCTAAAACGCTTTATTACTCATATTAACGCGATTCCTTTCCCGACATCAAGCCTGCCTAAGGCAAGTCGTGAACAAGTCCCAAGCACCGGCGTGGCTCAGTGGTAGAATACTGGGCTGGCCCGCAGCGGACCCGAATTCGAGCCTCACTGTGTCCTTGGTACTAGGTTTTTTCTTAATTCGCTATAGTGGTTATGGACACCCCCAGCTGCAGTGGACAACTACGGCGCCGCATGTGACCTGAGTTTTGATCTCATAACCGTTTTCGCTGTAAAAATGCACCATTTTCCTAAAGAAGACCAGGGGGTGATGCAAAGCATTGTTCACACGATGCGTGGTAACGAACCGAGTTAACAACGTAACAGCACGCAAGGTTCTCCACAAAAGTAACACCACCGTTGAAAACACCATTGAAACTCCACACGATGCTCTGCATCACCCCTTGGCCACTTTCGAGGAGAATGTGTAATTTTTGAAAAATTCATTGTAATTTACTTGTAGCGTCATGCAATAAACTTAGATGTTTTTTTTTCTTTCACGGAATCGGTTGTGTTGATGCTTTCCAATATAACTACCGTGTCCAGCCATAGCTTGGCTAGTGCGGGTTATGTTCACAGCACCCTTCAAGAACAAGAGGATAGTCGGCTGCTGAATGTTCCTGCCCCTAGACATGCAAGCAGCTTTGTGAATAATGTGTTTTCCAGCTTTTAAATCATTTTTAATAATTATGAGAAAAGACACCTAGAAGTGTATAAGTGTTTGGTTTCAAATATAATATCCTCTACTCTTTCATTTTTCGCTGGCTACCTACAACATCCTAATCCTCATTCTAATCCTATCAATTTTTACAATCGTCACAAGTCAATTTTCATTAGATTTGGTCACAAAGAAAAAAATTGACATCCAACTGACTTCAGCATAAAGCAACCAAGAAAACTAGAAATCGTGATTAGGCTGATCAACCATTACATGCTACTTCATATCACCAGGCTGCCAAAGCAGACCAAAAAGCTAGCAGATTTTAATGCAAGGACGCAATAATTGACAGCTCAAAGTACAATGACATATGGCAATGCAAAACCCCAAAAGGTGAACAAAAGGGGTGTATGACAACTTCTTTTGTTTTATGAACCTTCCTCAGATGAAATGATTTGCTCATAGTCAGTTTAATAGAAATTTAACTTCGTGTTTCTCAATGGGTGATCATTCTAAGGCAAACACTTGGATGTTACGGAGTCAAATCTTTTGGTTGGATATGGGCATGCTCCACTCGAGATAGCACAAGAAGTTCATGCACCTGTCACATAAACTGGTTTTCGAAACTATTCCCATTGCTGGTTTTATTTTTCAATGACAACTGCTGCAAAGTGCAGCCAAGGCTGCTTACACAGCAATGGAAGTCACATGTGTTGCTTGTTCCATTTCTGCCCAAATCAGTGACTTGGCAGTGGAGCAAGTTGCTCTGAAACTATAGAGTTTCCTATAAATGCACCAGAGAGCACTTTGGGGCCAGTGGGTATAGGAGCTACAAAGCATGTGAATGATGGGTAGTACTTGGGTTTGTCTAAGCTTTGTTGTTTTGGCTCCGTGGCTTTGTTTGGCTTCGTGTGGCCAGGAGTCACTTTGTCACAAGACGAAGTTCAGCAAATGTTCAGCAGTTTAATTTCACCACGTTAACCTTTTAAGGCTAACCAGTTCAGATCAGCTCATCAAGTTCTCAATGATCCATTATCTTATCCTAAATAAATGCCGACATGCAAGAGTAAGCAAAGCTAAAGAAGCGTTCGAAGCCGCAAGCACAAGATTGGGCAAGTCCATGCACTAGCCACCATTCTCATGGTGGCTGAATGATTGCTGTGCCAGGGTTCCCTCTAGTAAATACTGTAGAAAACTCCGTCTGACTGCAACAACCAGCGAAACATGTAAGCCGCTCCGGGCCGACCAGTGGAAAACACCATTAACCACAGTGGCGGGGGCAAAGAGGATGCTAGTTACCACTGTTTCATTTCAACAGGAACAAAAATAGAATGTCTGCTCACCGCTGAAGCCTGCTTTGCAAAAACACTCAAAGTCATCTGCTTTGGGTCCTCGTTCCCTGCAAATGCCATGGTTCTGGCAAGGATTCTTTTCGCAAGGAGCTCTGCCACCACAGTCATCCACATTTGCTGCATCTACCACTGCACCAACCAAGTCCACACTGACATCATTCACTTCAATCTGTAAAAAGAACAACAGTAAAATAGCTCTGTTACTAAAATCACAAACAGGCATGCTTTTATAATAAGGACAGTGTGAGAAGCATGCTAGTCTCGTATTTGAATATATATGTTAACATCAGTGGTTCTCAGTAGGCTTGTGCAAGTAGTAAATTTTTAGCTTGCAACAAATAGTGACTTGACCGAATATTTTCTAATCTAATTCAAATAGCACACACCACATAGTGTGAAAAAAAATTAGCTCCGTATCTGTATTTAAACTACGAATGTCGTCGAAAGAGGATAGTCTTGTGTGTGGAGAGAGTGAACAAGACATTTATTTGATGTTCTGCACAAGGAAATTGGTGAATGGTATTCTGGAGGCGCTGCGTTAGATTGTGCAGCGGAGGTGAACAAGCGCACCAAGTCACAACACACATGAGACATGAGCGCCATCTGGCAGTTTTCTTAGAAAACCAAATGCGTGGTTCTGAGACGGGTGTGCGCGCCCATCTCAGAGGTGATAAAGTGTAGAACGCAAGGCGAAGGGTAGGTGCCACCACCGTCTCGTCTTAGCAAAGCGTTGGAAACACTCGCCTTTTTGTGCAAGCGTTGCATGGTCGGTGCAGCGTGATAAGCGCTACGGTCCTTAAAATTATGTATGCCTTTTCTAGTAAAAGACGCACATGCAGAATATATACTAGTTGTTATGGTGCCCCAGGCATGTGTAATAATTCTTTTTTAATTGACAATTACACAAGCATGAATGCTGAACCTTGAGCTACATTGATGGGCGCTGCGGATGGGGTCGACCGTTTTAAGTACTCGATCCTGTTAAAATTAAACAAACAGACAAATGCACAGACAGACAGACAGACAGACAGACAGACAAATGCACAGACAGACAGACAGACAGACAGACAGACAGACAGACAGACAGACAGACAGACACACAGACAGACAGACACACAGACAGACAGACCATAGTTTTTGCATCGAAGGTCCCCCAAAAAAAGACTATCGTCTTTAAAAATGAGCATATTTGTCATGACTAAACTATCATGTACAATATATTTTTTTTTAATTCGAAAAAAGAAAAGTGCAAGCAATTTTGAATTGTTGCAGGATTTGACTTTTGGTAGAATATAAATGAGAACATGTAAAACACATTATGTTTTAATTCTTATTATACTTAGAGCATATAGAGCAAGCTTTTAAACTCAAGAAATCAATAATAAAATGTTCGTTTAATCTTGAAGTGGGGCTTCCCCTGATTCACAGTATAGCACCCCATCATTGCAGTGAAAAAATTGGGGGACCCCTTTAAGAGACAAACACGATAGCAATATCCTGTCCCTAGTGCATACTTCAACCACATATTGCGTTCTTTTTATTGCATGATATTGCTCAAGAAGTTTATATTGCGAATTACTATAACATGATATAATAAAGTTTAAAGTGGCCTGTGTGGCTTCACTCTGTTTGCACAAGCCTAGTTTTCAGCCATACAGCTGTCACTTGGGGAGCCTGATAGACAAGATGAAGCGTGCCAGATTATGCTCATAGCAGCCAAAACACATAATTTACAATTCGGCTGCAACATATAAAATGGCTTATACAAGGCATTTCCAAAGAGGTATTCAAAAATTGTCGAAATCGGGGCTCATGAGCAAGTTATGGAGAATGCAACAGTTGAGCGACTTTTATTCATAATTTCTACCAGCAATTTCTGATCTGTAAACAGGGTGTCCCAACTACCAAGCACCAAGATATGAAAAAAATATGAATGGGACAGGGACACGAAGTTTCAGGTGTACGGAAATAATGAAATATATATTCATATTACTGTCATTTGCTGGCCAATAGAAACAAGAAGTATGCAGACCGATATAGAACTAAAAAGTTGATTATTTCCAGTCGATGTGCACAAGCAATCCAGTGTGTACTATGCAAACAATGCACTGAGTTTTAAAGAAGTAGAAACATGAATTATGGAAATCTTCGCACTATTGCTTAATTAAAAACAGAGGTGACCAAAACACTGAAGGAGCATTGTGGAGTCTCAAAATGCACTGAATACCCATATTGTTACAGGCAAGGAGTTCTGTGAGAGGTTGACGTAATTTTAACATGATGTGTGCCCTCTGCACAATAAAGATAGCCTGCTTGTTTCACCTTCGCTTCAGCTGCATTTGTCTCTAGGTAAAACATGAACTTGGACTTCATACAGAAAGCAGAGGCTTTTGTTATTAAAGAAAGAATATTTCTACTGACTGCACAAAGATAAACATGAATTGAAGTCCTAAAATTTTAAATATAAATTTTCAAAAATTAGTAAAACAAAATCTAAAACACAATCTTTGCAAATCTCACTTGACACCAAAAAAAAAATACATTTATTCTGGAAAAATCTGATCTATAAGTTTGCAGCTCTTGTATATTTACAGGCACTTTGACAATTTTGATCTGCTAGGCTTGTTCGAACAGTGAGTTTTAGGTCAGAAGCAAATTTGAAGAGAATAGTGATTTTGATCGAATAATTTCAAATCGAATTCGAATGATATATACAGTGTGTTCTAAGCAATGTGTCCACTATTATGCAAAAATGACAGGAAGGAAGTATCTGCACACTGCCTGTGGCGTTCTCTTGACTGTAACAGAAGGCGCCTTCAGATGTGAACAAACATTTATTATGGCAGTAATTGTCTCATATATTTAATCTCGGAAGCGCTTGCAAATGGTTGGACTGAGAGATAGACACAGGACGCGAGTGCGGCGATACAAACACACTTTATTCAAAGGACGGATGATGCAAGTACACAAAACTAACATTAAAGCCCTCAATAACACTCAATACTATAATACAGTTAAACCTGAATATAACAAAGTTGACGAATTCCCGTAAAAATTTGTTATAAAGAGTATTTTGTTATATGCAGGTCTGGTACGAAAATTCATAAAATGAATGCACAAATTAAACAAAAGAACTGAAGGCAGAGCTAACCCAAAACACTTAATTAACGGTAAAAAACTGCATTATTATTGCAATAGCAATTAGATGGACACTCTCGGCGGGTTTTTGTTATCGCTGTCATGTTCCGTAACAAGTCCAAGATCATAACATGCCCCTTCACATCGTAACTTTTATCAGCGGGTAAAAGCGCACGAGCGCTGCTGGAGCAAATATGAAATGAGCCAACCTATCTCTGTCGCCTTGAGCACGCATACGATAGCACCCTCCTCCCCACCCCTCGTGCTAGTATCATCATCTAATGCCCGAACGGGAAAGAAACCACCAGTCTTGAACGAGCACGAAAAAACATGGGGGGGCAAGGTGGTCGCTAGAGTAGCAACAGTTGTTGAACTTTGATTTTAAGGGCCCGGTAGTGATCGCTAACACATGCGCCATCTCAGCAAGCAGCAGTGCACTTTCAACATGAAGAAACTGTGTGAAAAGAGCACTTCTCTTTGGAGTAGCCATATTCGCCTACACCAGCTTTTTTGTAAGAGTTCCGTGATATTGCATTCAAAAGAGTTGGCTGGCAGCCCTACTTCGTATGACATTACAATTTGTGGCTATCGCATTCATTGCATTGCATTCAATGAGCCGTTATGTAGTTCCCAAAGCTAATCGGCTAAACTACGGTTCCACAAACTCACGGCGCGGCCAAGACGGAAGCGCCCAACAAGTTTACCTCCAAAAATTCGTTGCTGTCCCAGTGGTCTCTGAAAGTTTCCATCAGAGCCTAATCTGACATCCCCTAAGTAGTGAAGACTCAGCTGTCGCATTAACACGCACACACACACAAAAGATAAAAAAAAGAAGCACTGTCATATACACAAAGAGAATGATGTTAGATGAGGAACTTGCTCGAATATAATAGGGTAACCCGAGAATCCTTCGTACACATATGCTATTATTATATCTTGATTGACAACGACACTACATATATATATATATATATATATATATATATATATATATATATATAGTTGCAGAAAATTAAGTAACGCTGGCCCCGGTAGAATAAGGAAAAATAGAGTATGACGCACGTTGGTTTTGCACGGTATATTCTGACTGACGTTTGGGCTGTAGGACCAGCCTTTGTCAAAGGCTGGTCCACCAACAAAAACGTCAGTCAGAATATACCGTGCAAAACCAACGTGCGTTGTACTCCATTTTTTCCTATATTATATATATATATATATATATATATATATATATATATATATATATATATATATATATATTACATACACAATGTTTATTATTTACAATAGCATGCACTATATACATTTTGGTGTACATGTGGCCAAGCGGTGACCAAGTGTGCTCACTGCATGAGCTCCTGGTGAAGAGAAAGAAAGCGGACGTGCCGAGAGTGCTGTGCACTGCCATGAGCAACAGCACCCCATGTAGTGAGCATTTTTATAATCTCCTTAAAGCCGTCGCCTTGAAAAGCAGCGCGCATTCGCGCATGGCCAGACCAAACACCACTAACAACCTCCTTTTTTCCTCTCTCACATTCCTTTCTCTCCCCTACTACCCATCCCACATGACCTCCTCAGAAAGACAGTTAGCACGACCCACTTCGCTCTTCACTTCTCTTTCTTTCAAATCTACATCGAGGAGGCAAGCGCGCGGGCCATCGAAAACTTGGCACCTTGGGGAACGGCACGCCATCTAGTGAGAATTATTAGAATCACTGGAGAGGCAACCTTGAGTGCGACCGCAGTAGTGTACAGGCTACACTGATGTAAGCCACGAGCAGAAGGAGCAAGCTCCTAAAAGCAAATTTGCTGAACATCGTCAGGGGCCACACCAAGCGCGCGCAGTAAAACCATGCATGTGTGCACAGCATCAAAAATGAAGAGCAAACGATGCAGATACTGCGTAAAACTATTCGGTAAAGGCAAGAGCCCTCCATATGCAGCGCAGCCCCACATGTGAAGCAAAGTAAAAGCAAGGCACTGCCAACATAAGAGTAGTTTTTTTTTTTTTGCTGTCAGTTCGGACGGAGA